TCCGCAGATCTTAATCAGCTCCTGTAACCCATCCAGGCTGGGGCTATCTGCTAACAGTACAATGCCGTCCGTGTTGAACATTCTGGTATAACTTGGTATACCAGGATGGTATACTTTAACGCGGTGTCTAGCGTTATGTCTGGCGGAACCCAGAATAAAAATTAGAGTTACATCTGACGTAACTTTACCCCAAGGTTTCGAGTTACGTCGGACGGAACTCGAAATGAAAATAAAAGTTACGTCCTGTGTAACCTATGCAACCTTATGGAACGTTACGCTTTATGGCCGATACATGACGTCAACGCAAACATATCGTGAATTATTACTATGTTACGTCCGATGCAGCATTCGCTAATTGGTTAAAATCGTGAATCCATCTGTACCTCCAGGTACAGATGCCCGTCACAGTATTTTTTTTTCTCGTATTTTCCCTTTCTTTAAAGTGATTTTTTTTTTCTCCTTTAAAACGATTTCTTGAGTCGCTTTCTGAGAATCACAGACGTTCGAAGCAATTATTGGGAGAGATAGAATGGTAATGTGATACGAATGTGCGGTTTACAGCAGCAGGGTTTCTGGTAGACTTGTTGAAAACTGGCACAATCTTCATCTACCACTCAAGTCGCCACGCGCACTAGCTTTGGCAGTGTTTTCTTCCAGAGTGTCTTGAATAAAAATCTGTTTTGAAGGGGCCGCCCGGGTGTGAGAATGACAATAGACCGTCGGCCTTTAGCCATATTAACTATGCTCTCAGCCCGAGCCAGCAAGGGCTACAAGCAGGTGTAACAAATGCGGCAAGAATAGCAAGAAGTACTTTCGTATCGAAAAAAATGCAATAAATTGTCTTAAAGGAGGGGAAAAACAAGAAAGAAAAAAGTGTATGTGACGGCCATCGAACCAACACCTCCTGGAAGAAAAGGACGTAGCGCTCCGAGTGGTTACGTCACAATGTCGGAGAAGGAAGTCCATAGCGCAGCTACGTGAGAACAATTCCTGGCATCGACATGAAAAAAACGTTTCTTGTCGAGCGGCGCGGGGTGCTCGCGAGCGTTTATCCGACATTAATATATGTATTAAAAGCAGAGTATTGTACAATTTATTATATATATAATATAAACATAATATATACAACGTGCTACCAAGGTTGAAAGTACCAATTTTATATTTATGATCATCCCTGTAACCGCGGGACTACGTGCAATCCCGCAGATACACACACTTTGCAAATGAACCGGTCCGCTGCAACGTTTTTTTCCCTCGCACGGGCTCGGATTTTGCTAAATTTACGTTGTTTGTGAGCTGCTGACTGTCTAAAAAGGAACACCGAGACTTTTAGAAGGGAAGGGAACCGAAAAAAATCCAGTCTTTGCCGCAAGGAGCGCAAGCGAGCAAGAGATGGGTCGACAACGTTAAGCCTCCCACACTGCTGCCGCTGCTCTCATGTGTGTGTTGTGTGCATGTGCGTGTGTGTGTATGTGTGTGTCTGTGCGCATGTGTATGTGCGTGTGTGCGTGTGTGTGTGGTTCTTTTGATCCTTCCAGTCATTTCTTGGTCGTCACCGTAGTCTCGGGTAGTTTTTTTGTGTTCGCTTGATACTATGGCATTCACATGGATTCGCGGAACAAGTCCTGCTACGGTTTGGGTGGCATGTGTGGCAACTAGCCAAAGATGACACTGGTCGATTATCGATAGACCTCTCTTGTTTATCGACAGACTTCTCCTTCGACAGAGATAGACTTAAAGTTTGTGTTCAAATGTTTTCGTCACTGATATTGTTGGACGTATGGATACGATCGACAGGTGAGAAACAACTTAATTATGGGCTTTCTTGGTCATATGGGACGCGAGCACAGTGCTACAGTCGGGTTGTTTTTTGTTTTTATTTTTCGTGATAGAATGGCATCTTGTTCTTCGTCATTATCCATGTGCGGTTACGTCGACATTTGTAAATATGCGAGGTAATATTCTAGTTCCCACTGGAAGGTGAATAACAAGTTTGTGTGATTATACAAAGTGCGTTGTTTGTGCTTATGTGTTTATTTATACTAATGTTATTTTATAGCCTTTACCACTTTTATACTAGAATCTTAATTGTATTAAGGTAATAGTATTATTGTATACAAAATAAGATATTTTGCTCTAAGACAGCTCAAACCCGTAGGGAGAAGTAAATTAGTTGATCGTAAATATTAAGTTTAGCACCCCTGCCACACGGGAAAGTTAATATATCTTCATTAAATGATATGGGACTTAATCAGCTAGCGATCTTGAGTGATCATACGAGCGTCGCAAGCTGATTTGTTGACCCCATAATGTCATTCGATCAAAATTACATTACTTTTGCCATGTGGCTGGGGTATGATGCAAGAACTCAGTGACTGCACGCGATAACATCGCTTACATGATTGTAAGTGACACTTGTCTAGCCGTGTCCGCGTTGACTACGTCTACCTGACTTTTAACTGTGATCTGTTTTGCTGTGTCCAATCACTGCGTGTCTCGCCATTTTGACAAAGTATTTCTGTGTAAAATATGCATTCCTAGAGCAATAATTGCGTGACTCAATGTTTTCTCCTATACGCCTACCTCGTACCATTTCATGCCGATTATTTAGTGGTGTAATATTTTGCCCATGTAATAAAATATTTTCGAGACCCCTTGCTATGTGGAGCTTTCATTTTAGCTAGACACGTGTATGTGACTCCTTCGCTTCGACGTGCGCCCCCGATGGCCTTCCTTCGCGACGTCACGAGAAGAGCGCTACGGCCTTCTCTTCAAGGAGGTGTTGATTGAACCCCCCCAGCTTCAGCAGCCTCGATATGCGAGGAGCATTTTCCAGCGCTCTTAGCAAAGCTGAAGGTACGGATAGGGTTGAGATTTTAAGCGATTCACGAATGCTGCATCAGACATAACGCAGTAATAATTCACAATAATTTTGTGTTCACGTCATGTAACGGCCGTAAAGCTAAACATACGCATAGGTTACGCAGGACGTAACATTAACTTTTATTTAGGGTTCCGTCGGACATAACTACTCTTTATTTTTATAAATGATATTGTGTCTTGCGTAGATACGTCTGAGCTTTTACTTTTTGCTGATGACATTAAGTTGTTCAAAAGCATTCACACACTTCAAGATTGCGATATTTTACAAAATGATGTGTCAAACATCCTTCAATGGTGTAAAAAAATCAAGTGTTGCTTAACCCCGCAAAAAAAAAGTGCTTTCCTTGTGCCGGCGGCACGCTGTTGTTGACTTTACTTATTATCTGGAGGGATCGCGAATATGATGTGTACCTCAAGTAAAGGATCGGGGCGTGTGTGTTAACAGCGCTTTAACGTTCAAAAATCATGTCTTTACTCGTCGGAAATGCTTATAAAGCACTAGGAATAATATCTCGTTTGACGCAAAGTTTTAGACAGCCCCTTTCATTGATCTACCTTTTTAATTCCCTAGTGAGATCATGACTCGAGTTTGCTTCTGTCATATGGAACTCAATATCTAAGACACAGGCTTTAACAATTGAAAATGTTCAGAAAAAGGTTATCCGAATTGTTTACAAAAGATACTTTGAGAGGTACTTTTACTATAGTTCTGAACATATACTTTAAATGTTTTCGCTTTCGCTTCTGTCTACCAAAAGCTCTGATCGAGACTTTGTTTTTCTGCACAAGGATGCTAATGGTGCATTTGATTCTCCGCAACTCCTTGAAAGGGTGAACTTTCATGTTCCTTCACGTCTAACCATACATTTTGTTTGCTTCTATATTCACTCACTGTGCATTGCCTCACCTCTCTCTCGGATTCAGTCATTATATAACGCCATCGCTCCACCCCACCTTGATATATTTGCAGCTGTTACAATGTACCGTCGCCATTTGGATAATCTTACATTTGTCTCTTATATGTGTGTTTAGGATTTTTTGTTAGTTTGCTGGTTTTATTGTCTGTGTTGGTGCAACAAGGGGAAGGCCGATGAGGTTGTTTTGGGGCACCTAAAATAAAGAATATTATTATATTTCGAGTTTGCTCGGACGAAACATTAATTTTTATTTCGAGATACGTCGGACGTAACCTTAATTTTCATACTGGGTTACGTTGGACGTAACTCAAAACCTTGGTGTAAAGTTACGTCGGACGTAACTTTAATTTTTTTTCGGGTTCCGTTGGACGTGACGCTAGACACTGCGATACTTTAATCTTTTAATGATCAATGTACTTTTTTTTTTTTTAAATAAAGATTTCAGGGTTTTAGTGAATTAAAAAAATGCTATTCTTGTTTTTTGTTTTTTTTTCTCGTTATTTTAGAATGCTTATTTGCAGGGTTTTAGACTTACCGCTGGTGTTGTCGAAGACAACAATTGTTGCTGCAGGCGATCGGTGGAGTTCGGTTCAAGTACCGTCTTGTACATGTCACTACTTGACCTCGAGACATTTTCTTCGAAATCGACAGCACGCTCATCGAAATCACCTTCGCCCTGGAGAAGTCGAGAAGAGTTCTGCATCCATCGCTTCGAGTGTGCACTCCACTTACGAACCAAACAGCGCTTGTGTTGGTGCTTCAGCAACACGTCTGCCTTGCTAAAACACCTGTAGAGCGTATGCATGGTCAAGCAGCACGCATTGTGGGCCTAGACAGGTTTTCTCTATTCCCCAGAAATTAAAAACACTTTGATTCATGTGTATCACGCTGTTCGCACGCTTTCGCACTTCTTTTGCAACTTTCGGAGTCTCCGCTTCCCACTTTGGATTTGGATTCTTCTGACTTTAGTGTTTCAGGACGGTTGGGGCCACCGTGATTTTGAAAAATCATAAAATCAATACAACAACGGGGACAACATATCTTTAAATACATTCTATAAAAATTGAGTTAAAGCAAGTAATGATTTTTTTTAGTTTCTAAGAGACCAAAGCTGTGCGTTTTCTTTTTTTTGTTAGTGGCAGTTTTTTGTGAAACTGGTGTCGACCGCACTTAGGTCTGGCATCACTGTATGGCAAACATTTTCGGCTTATTTCAGGACTTCGGAAGCTCTGTTTGCCGTGGATTCATCGATGTGAAACGCGGAAATTAGTTAAATCGACTTGATATCCTCGCGACAATCGGTCACGTCACGCGAGTGCGCCGCGATCGAAATGCCGGTGCACTAGTGAGCGTCGTTTTCGAGCCTGAGGCGTCATGAGAACCCGGTGATTGCGCCGTGTGCCACGGTGCCCCCCTTCGGAGCAAGCCCACGTAGGTCGCCTCGGTCTAGCCGAGGCGTCGTTCCCTGCCGCGTCCCCAGCAGCCGTCACAACGCCTCCCGATGTGGTCCCTGGTGAACCGCGTCGCGGTCTTCCTGTACATGCAGCTCCGTCCCGCGATCAAGTGGGTGCTGCGGAACCTGACTCGTTTGTGCGAGCTCCAGCGGATATGCTACGGGACCGAGCGCGGCTGTCAGCGGACGCGCGAGTTGGAGTGGAGCCTACAAATGTCTCGCACGCCCGCTGTCCGCACCATTTACGACCGACTGACGCAGCTTGCCGACGAAGGCCGCTTCAGCAAGGAGCTGAGCGGAAACGCCGTCGAGTACGCCGTCATCGGAGTGGCCTACGTCAAGAAAATCAACACCCAGGTACACCGCGAGTTCGTGCGTTCTTTTCGGACGAGCATGCTCCAGATGTGCGGCTACCGGCAGTTGGTTTACGACGTGGAGCGTCTACGGAAGACGCAGTTTGTCGCGCAGGACCCCGATCACCTGAGCAGGCTCCTGCGGCTCTGGAAGCTGCTGCGTCCGGACGAGCACCTCCGCGGGCCGGTCTCCAAGCAGTGGAGCGATATCGGCTTCCAGGGGGACGACCCACGCACCGACTTCCGCGGCATGGGCCTCCTGGGGCTCGACAACCTCGTCTTCTTCGCGTCCGAGCACACCGAGGTGGCCCGGCACGTCCTGTCCCATTCGCTGCACCCCGAGTACGGCTACTCGTTCGCCATCGTCGGCATCAACTTGACGAGCCTGCTGTACCACCTACTGGTCAAGGGGAAGCTCAAGTCACACATCTTCAACGCCGTGGCCGAGCGGCCGCAGGTGGAGGACTTCCACAGGGCGTACAGCTACGTCTTCTTCGAATTCGACAAGTTCTGGCTGGCCGAGAAGCCCACCGACATCATGGAGTTCAACCGGATACGGGACAAGTTCGAGGACAAGTTGCTCCAGATGCTCGAGAAGGACGACTGCGTCTTCAAGCTCAATGTGACGGTCAAGAAGGTCTGAAATTCCAACGCTTTCAGAGAAGACAGAACTCCGACATCACGGGCTCAGTGAAGGCTGCCTACCGCCACTGCTATCTCGGTTGTCTGGAAACTGGGTTTTTGATTCTGACTATGCAGGAATTTGTTTGGTGCCGCTATTTAGAAGGCCGTAACCCAGAAAGCTACCATGGGCACGTTGGACGGTGGCAGTGTTTGCAGTCAGTTCTTTGCTTTCTTTATTCTACAGGATAGAGGGCACAGAACAACTCCATGTGAAGGGTGAATTATCTCGGATCCTTTTCCGAAGTTCCTTTTTCGAAGGTGCAATACGAGCTCAACCTTGCAAAGTCTATCTTTCACAGTGTTCAAACATTCTTTAATTTTGCTACTATGTATTGCGAGACCTAGATGCACTCAAAACTGGTTAGGAAATATTAGAAAAATGTATGAAGGTGTCATATTTATTCTCCACACGAGTGATATTTTTTGCAGAAAAACAAATTTTGCAGCAATTCACGTTTCTGGCATCCCGCCAAGGTGGCAATGCAGGGCTTGTGCGGAAGGTTGGCTTCTCGAAAAACAGATTCCTGCACATGCGCGGTGTCCGCAGCTCCAGGGGGAAAATGTACTTGTTTATAGACCAACATGCTGTTCACAAACAAACCGGTGTTTGCCCACACTCGGTGTAGGCACTGCGCGAGCCCAGAAACCAGGTTCGCGTGAGCTGAAGCTTTTGTGCAGGCGCCGTGGCGACAACAGTGCCACCGCAGAGGCATGACGCGAGAGACGTGCGTTGGTCTATGGACATCAAGTCGGTATAGACCAACACGCGGCTTTGACGTCACATCTCTGCGGTGGCGCTGTTGTCGCCACTGCGCATGCGCAGAAGCTTCACCTCACGCGAATCTGGTTCATGCGCTTGCGCAGTGCCCACACCTGGTGTGGGCAAACGCGGCCTTGTTTGTAAACAGTGTGTTGGTCTATACCATATGCTTCTGGTGGATAATGCTGGCATTTTCCTGATGCATGATGGGAAGTACGCCAAAAAACAAGGACAGAGAAGAGAGGCACGCAGGACAGGGCATTGAGTTGCAAATAACTCAAGCCTTTCAGAAGGAAGACCAAATGTTGCAAATGTAAATGACCTAGAGACAATGTGATGACAAGAAGTGTTGTACGTGCAGGGTGCCGTAACCCTTCTGAATATGATCTCAGTTGTTTGCTCTGGCAATCATTTGCATCGCCCAGTATTTAATCGTTTTGAGACTGAAGCGACCTAGGCACCTGGATTGAGACAGCTCAACAGGTGTTGAAGCAGCCTGTTTGGTGAGTTATCTGCGAGCATGTGTAAGACAGGAGCTGTACTCTTGTTTATTATCAGGGTCAGGTTTGTGGTGGAGGGATGGCATTCAGTATTCTCATGACGGTACCATAGTGGACGCATACTGAACTGTTCTGTTGAAGTTCTTTTATGCTAGTGCTTGGCAATATTCACCTGCCAAAAAGAGCTACTATTTTTACAGGCATATAACTTCGTGGTTGACCCATTTCTCATTACTCAGTGCAAACTCCGAGTGAGACTGTGAGCCTTATTTGTTGCAGCTGTCTATAATTGATCTGCCAGTGTGTATCTATGAACAGCTTTGTGTCAGGTTGGTGATAAAATGCGATTGCAATGAGGTTGTCTTTTAGCATAGTATGTTCTTGGCAAGGGTAACTCGGTGAAAATGTAAAAAGCAAAAGGCAACGCAACCGAGAGGAAATCTTTTGTGTCACTGCCGCACCAGAACTCCCTCGCTGGGGGGGCCTCACTCCCATTAGCTGGTGTGAGCGATCATATGACCACAGCGGTGCTCTTGCTGTAAGTTGCGACATAGGTGTTAGTAAACAAAACAATTGCACCAAGGTTTTCCAACCCAAAAACATATTCTGTGTGCAACAATTTCGTCAGGTATGACCAAAGTACTGCCACAAATTTTTTCGTAAACGCTGGCAAGTTTGAAGTTTTTAAAAAGTCTTATATTTTCTGTTTTACCTTAAAGGGATACTACAACGAAATTTCGGCGCTCATTTTTTGGTCTATATGTGTTAAAAAAAGCAGCATCACATCGAACATACCAATATCTTGTTAAAAAAGTCACGAAAAGGAATTTTAAAACGAATTAAACGATTAGCAAAGAGCACCTGGTGGATGTGGCTAACGCCTCACTTGTAATGCCCGTCTAGGAACCTTGACAGCTAGCGACGGAGGTTGTCTCGTCTCCGGCCACGACGAGAGAAGAGGGGCAGGAGGAACTCCCCTCTTCCCGAGAATGCCTTTTGTGTGTCGCAGAAGTCGCTATTGTCCCCCTACAAGATTATAGAAGATTAACCCGTCACTCAAAATTCGTACAAAAGCAGCCGCTTCGGTGGCTGGAACGACTAGGCCATCCTCGCGACGTCAGCCTCGCCGTAGCTTTGCTCGTCTTGAGACGACCTATGTCACGATTGCGTTGGATGTCACGTGGTCTCCGCTGGGCCTTCTCCGAGCACTTGCCAGAGTGGGCAGTTTATAGCGAAAAATACAGCCACCAGGCTCAAAATTCAAACGTGCGATTGTCATTTACGGATATTGTGGATCATATTCAACCTATTTTTGAACATGACGGGAATATTTCAAATTTCATTGAAGTATCCCTTTAAGAGTGACTAAAGAGGAGGCTAACAGAGAAAGTGCAACGTTTTGAGCTGTCTGCTATGCCTGCATGCTTGTGCGTCATCTAACCCTTTGAGTGCCGTGCCAGAGTATATTTGGGCACATTCCCATGTAGTTTCAGTTTCCGTTTGCTCCCTGCCCCTCCCAACTGGGCTGTCATCTTCTTTACCTATAGTGACATGTGTGAGCGAGTGATGAAAACAACATTTTATCATGGGGCATCACTTTTTGATGGCATGTAGTTTTTGTTTTGTTTGGGCGACTTCTGTTTTGGTATGCTCCTTCATTGTTACAAAATGTGCAAATCTGTCAATCAACCTCACGTTTCATGGCGAACACCGAGATATAGAAATTACTCACGAACTTGGTGTTCAAGGACTGTGAAAACAAGAAGGTACAATCTCGAATAAACAAAGGCCGCTCAAAAGAGTGACCTCGGGGTACAAGGGCGAGATGCCATTGCATACCACTGTATCTTGAAAAGTATAATGAGAAATATGTCAAAAGTTGGAGGCATGCAAACATCAATTAGCCTTATGTCTATGAAATAGCGTGTCTTTTATGACTATGTTTTTTTTCAGAGCCTGCTAGAGTGTTACCGAGACCAAAATTTGCGACTAGCGACGGGGAAGAGAACTTGGCACATAAAGGGGTATTCAAACGAGGGAGAAATCTCGGTAATTTCTCCCTGGCACATGCATTCATGCGACGAAAATGTAGGGCTTTTGCACATTGCAAACGCCTGATGTTGGCGTTGCGTAAAACGCGTGCCCAAAAGAATTCACTGGGAGTTCTCCCTTGTGTGAATATGCTTAAAGGGTTTAATATAGCATGCTCCTGCCTGTACCATCTGCTTTGCTCACACTTATTGTATGGCGAAACAGAGTATAATGACTCTTGTTTGATTGCAAGCCTAGAGAAACGTGCATTGTCGAGCTATGTGCCCGCATGTCGGTGCTTCATCCAACAAAGAGCCAATTAACGTGATACTCAGCTCATCAACTTGCAAGTTTTTTTGTTTTATTTCAAGTTTACTCCGATCTCAGAAATGACAAAAAGATCAGTGTGTCCTGCAAATGCTCATTTTGGACTATAGTGAACAAAACTTTTGGGTGCGTTGGTAATAGATTCAAAAATACAAAAGAGTTAGACAAAGAGGACGGACAAGACAAACACAAGATGTTTGTTCTGTCCGTCCTCTTTGTCCAACTCTTTCATATTTTTGAGTGAACAAAACTTCTTTGTAAGCAGTGAGGTCTTTGGTAAATGATGTATGCACTCTATTCAGTTTAAGTTGCAGGCAGGTAAATTGAAGGAAAGACCCACTTCCCCCCCACTCACCAAAAAAATTATAATATACTTGGAGCATAGAAACATACATGAAACCATAATTTGTTTGATTAGGAGGGCAGCCATGTCTCACTGGCATTAACTTTTCTGTGGTTCTGGCTGAAAATATTTTTGCTCTCGGTTTCATTTTAGACATCCACCTCACAAAGTGAATGATTTTGCTCCAGTTATGAAAGCTTTCATTTTAAAAATTTGTCCACTTCATCAGGATATAGCTTTGTTTCAACATGCCCCCTCCATTTGCATTGAGTGTGTGCGCTCCTCGTAGAGCAGTGCAAGCACACTTGAGTACTCCTTCACCAGCACAAATACCATCCTGTCAGCGTTTTGAACTATTCATTGCAGAGTAAGGCTAGCATATCACATCTTAGAGCCTGCCAGAGCAACAAGCTTTCACACACTTGTCTTCTCAGTATAAAATTGGCCAGACCTGAGCTTGGCAATGTGCGACACTCCTTGTCTGCACATTTTGCCGACATTTTAGCATACGCACACTACGCCCAGTCTCCGGTGGTATGTCTTTGCAGATGTCCATACGGAAATCCACAATAAGAGACTACTTTTGTGATAACTGTTGCATTCCAGTATTTTAACATCCATTGCACATATGCAGGATTTGTTGCACCATTAAAGTATCAACATTTCATAGTTGTGACGGTATCAACTTCTTTGGCAACATTTTTCATATCACTCAAAAATGACATTTGACATACCCCAAAATACCAACCAAGAGCACAGTCAAGATTTGGAGATAATCCCCAAAAAACTGGGGGATGGGCACTTGATAGGCCAGACAGCAAGAATGCAAAATGGCATGTGGTAAGGTGGGCTTCACCACTTTGCACCGGGGTGCTTGGGGAAGCAGCTGAGGAAGGGGAGTATCTCTGTGAGCTAAGCGTGCTCAGAAATCTGGGGTGAGCACTTGATACCTTCTTTTTTCAGTTTTTAAACATTTTGAAAATAGCGGGTGGGAACTTATTGTGCCATGGGTGCATGCTTGGCATTTTAGGGTATGTAAATTATCACAGAAGGTGCTCCTTCCGGCAGTCCCAACTACTCTTGCACTTCCAAGTACAAACACAACATTATTATAATCAAGCACCCAAAGAATGAATGGGAGTGATGGCAAGCTTGCCATTATATAGCACAAAGAGGGAAACAAGACAATGTCATTTCCTGGACTGCTGTAGTTTTCTCGTTCCTTCTTTCCCATCACTTGAGTTTTCCCACATGTCAGACCAAACAAACTTTGGTGTATCCAAGCTACCCGGCCACACAACAACCCTTTGTTATTAGTAAACGTTTACATCACCACATGAACCTCTGCACCGAAGATGGATCGCTCTCCCACATGAAGGTTTTGTTCAGGAACAAGTGCATCACTGCCACATTGACCGTAACATGCAACATCAGTTCCAGGAAGATCTGTCGATAGGTGACGCCCTTGAGATGCAACCTAAAGAACAAGTATGGGAAGATAAAGTAGCGGAACTCCAGCAGCTTCTGTGGCACGACGGACGCAAACACGCCGACCAAGAAGAAGAGGCGCCAAGTCCTGCTGGTGTGCCGGAGCTGATGAAGCATGGCGTAGCCGGCATAGATGCAAATCGGCACGAGACAGAACCTGATCAGTTCGCTCCTCCCCAGCACTTTCCTCCACAGATAGAATGTTAGGTGACGGTTGTCGGCCAGCAGGTACGGGTGGATGTGACTAAAGTTTTGTACCGTGAGCACAGACGCTAGAACGAGAATGGCATAGAGGTACGCTCGTCGTCTCAGACTACAACAGAAGTCGCTCAGTATGTTCGGCTGGAGGAAGAAAGGGGCTCCACTGAACGCCGAGAAGAGCAGGAAATAACCAAGTTGGGGTACATGGAAGCAGGCTTGATGGGCCGACTTGTCGCCCAACACGATGCCGCCGTTGTAAACCAAGAAAGCGACGAAAGCGGCTCCGACGATCACATACCCCACGCAATCCCTGAGGACGTCTCTGACGAAGTCGAAAGCCTCACGAACTCGCTTGTGCGGATCCGACGCCAACTGGGCGACGGTACACGAAATGTTTTCGAGCTTCAGCCATTTATCGACCGGCCAGCGGTCGTCGGCGACAGCCATCACCTTGCAGGCGGCGACCATGAAAACCCAAACGATGGACGTCTGCCGATACAAGACCGCGACGGCGCCAAACGTCGCCGCGAGCCAGTGGTGCTCGAAAAGAGAGTAGAGATACATCAGCTGCAGGAAAAGGACTGTACCGGGGTCCGTGTAGAACAAGAACGTAAAAAAGTGGAGGACTGGCAGCAGGGTGGTCGCAGCGCTGGCCAGGATCAATTTGGCACGCGTGCTTCCGTCGCAGGCTCCGGCCAGCCGTATCATGATCGCGCTCGAAGCACAAAAGTTGCCCAGCATAAGCAAGATGTTGGTGCACCGCAGGTAGAACGGCGTGCAGAGGTCCGCAGCAACGAGCAGCTTCGCGGCCAGCCCGAAACAAAGCGACGTGAGGTAGAGTCCCGGAGGGGTCGTGATTTTCGGGTCCCAGTACGTGAAGTTGTACGAGCAGTAGCTTTGGGCTTGTGGAACGTGGAAGATCTCGTCCATGTACGGCGCCGGCTGCGCATGGTTCACGACCACCGACACTAGCAGGGATGACAGGAAGAGGGCGATGAAAACTACGACGAAGAGTAAGAGGCGCATTCTTGAGGTGGCTACTAGCTTACCCAGCGCTGGTAGTATATGCAGACGATGCAGACACGTATTTACACCATTTACACAGCCTACACGGCGCACACATTGGACGTGGTCGTAGTGTCGTAGTGCGCTCTCACACTCGCACACACCCGCCCACGTCGACTGCCCCTATTCGCACTCCGAGTGCGGATGGTGGTTGATTCTAATCCGCACTCCGAGTGCGGATTATTTTGGATTCTTATCCGCACTCCGAGTGCGGATTGTGTTGGATTCTTATGCGCACTTCAAGTGCGTGCGGTGGAGAAGTTGGCCAACCTGGCCAACAATGCCCAACATAGTAAATTGTTGGCTGTGTCTGTTCCTTGTGTCTGTTCCTTCTACTGAAAGTTCTTCCGATTTCTTCCACCGCAGTCTCAGGTGTAATACGACATGAATAGTAAACTAATCGATCTTATTTCAATTTTGTCAACTATCTGGTAACTATCAAAACCCCAGCTCTTATTAGGTAGTAAAACCTACCGCGGACCAAATGACCCAGAGATATGACCGAGGCCGTGTTCCAAAATTTACTCCATCTTACTCCAGGATAAGAGTTTTGTACCTTGGCGTTCCAAAACTTGCCCGCGTCCAGCCTTCTTCAATCTGTGTTGTGACGTAACACGACCCGCCGGAGTAACTCGGGTTCATTTGGGTAAGATTTGGAACATAGCCCCATATAACTCTATCCATTCATCTTTCAACGGGTGGAGAAGCGCAAAAGGCACATTTCGGGAGCGACGTTAGCAGAGGTCGGTGCTGGAGAGTGTCCTTTAATCGTCATATCTAATGCACGAAACATAAAAACAACAAAAACACGTTGCTCGGCGATTAGCCAACTATGTAGGTGCCTGCCTTCGAAAGAGTGCGTCGAATCGCTACGTTTGCCCTGCGAGTACCGTGCTTTTACAACGCTGTTGGCTTCAAAGTGGCCGCTGCTGTGCCTGTAAGTGGACTAGGTAAACTGCGCGGTCGATCATTTTTTTTTCCCCACGCTTTACTAACACGGGATAAGTGCTTAAAGTGTCAGTAGCGCATTTATCCAACTAATTCGGGCCCAAATCATCTGCGTGACTCGTCTAGTACGCTGGTATGCATGCAACCGTCGTGAACCGGCCGGCATGTAGCCTTGATAGATACCCTTGCAACGTGACTTCGCAGCATTCGCGCTGACAAGATCGATGGCATAATACCATCTGCCAGTGATCGGAGAAAGCGGTTTTTCCGAGTGAGACGGGTGGCACCCGCCGTCGTTGACGGTTCGTATCGCCGTTCTTGTGTACGACCTCGGATCTAACCTTTAGAATTTAGAATTGCTGGAGGATTTCACCGGGTCATACATCCAATTAAAAAAATATATATATATATATATATTTTTTTAAATTTTGCTGCGTAATTTTTGCTTACATTAATTTTTTTTTTAATTTTTGATTGAAAATTTTAAGAACTGTTTAAATTCTTCTTGCAACACAATCACCACAAAGTTCTAACATATCATAGCTTGACATGGTACAGGGGAAAAGACAAGGACGCAAGCAAACCCAGGCCAGATCACCCTCTCCCTTTTACACACTGCATCATTACTTAATTGCATTGTTCATTTTGTGACTGACTGGTAGTGTGCACATTTCTTAAACCCGTTTCCAACCGTTATTCTAGGCCAAAGTAGCCGAGAAGCAAACAGGGCATGCTGGGATGCACATAGAATCTGCAAACACCTCTGACCATACTGGAGACGGAGGGGAATCTGAGGGCGATGAAAAGCTTGAAGTTTCGGGTGCCAACGTGTTTAGCCATTTGGACGATGAGCCTCAGTATCAGGTGAATGCTGGTTCTCACTCATTGCTATTTCTGCACCATTGACATTTTGAACTAGTTCACATTAGGCAGTGTTTTACAGTGGGCAGTACTGGGGAGAGTTATGTACGTGTCTTGTTGTGAGTCACCACCTTGACGCGGTTTGCAAGAGCTTCCAATCTGGCCTATGCCAGATTGGGTGATGCACCCATTTATGTTTTCAACAAATCTGCTTTATGAACGAAGTCAGTTTAGCACCTCTGAACATAAAGGCTTACTCAAAATGAGTGTGATAGTGATCTCTGCAGTGACCCTGAAGAAATGTTTTAAACCTTTCTTTACGGTCACTGCAGGGACCTTGTCAGCTGATTTTAATCACCTTTTGTCCCAGCCACCTTGACACTTGTGTCGAAATAAGATATGGCAATCAAATCAAATCAAACAGTTCCAACTGCAATGCTGAGAATTGCCAATGTATGGTGGGTTTCCCCTGGAATCGACTCTGTCATCTAATGCGAATAATAGGAGTTGTAAGGGGCGGCATATCAAATCATGACACCCACTATTGGGTCATAAAAGATATGCTGATACTTCGTGTTTTGAGATACTGTGAAAGGTTGGTAAATAAGCCATGTGCCGTATATTAAACTGGGTCAGGGGGGGAGGGTGTTTTAATTCATGCAGCTTCTATGTGTTGGCCATAGGTTAAAGTTGGCCCTCTGTGTGAAATGATTTTAAAGGCTGTACGAATCTTGGTTGCAGTTTTAGATAGCAAACTAAAATGAAGACAGATGGGATCATAAACTGCATGCTTTTACTTTGTTTCAGCATAAGGGGAAAAGACTGAAATTTTTCTGCTAACAAAACGGGTTTGGAGAGATAGGTGGGACGCTGCAGAACCCTGAAACACAACTCATACAGCGATATCTCAATGGATAGAAGTATTTTTGGAAAAGAATTGTGCGATTGAACACGGGCGACGAGGCCGACGAGACATGTGATGTCACGAATCTGATTACCCTTCCTCCTTACTTCGTCCCGTCGGGTTGGTGAACCGAAGCGAGGAGAAGAGAAGTGAGGCGGCTTCCCCTCATTCTCAACTGTTCCAGGAGGACCGAGACGTCAAAGTCCTCGCTTGATTGCGTTCTTCTTTTAAAAAAATAACGGCCATCCTTTTGAGATATCGATGTATGAGTGCGCTCTTGGAGTTCGTAGAGTCCCATTCAATGCTTGTGCGGCCTTATTTCGAAAAATCAAAATTTCGGTTCAGTATTTTTTTAAGTCCAGATGCAGCCAATGCTACAAGTGCGAGCATGTGGCCCTGAACAGTGCTTACACTGCATGAGCACGCATGCTTGGCAGGGGCGCTGAAAGCTTGGAGCTTGCTCTTGTAGCTTCTGCTATGCTCACACTTAAAGTGAAACAGAGCATAGTAGATTTAATGGACACTTCTGGAATTGGTAATGCATCCTATGTGGAGCGCAAGTTCATCTACTTTTTGTGCAGGGGTTACGGTGGCAATATGATGCCACGCTCTTATTGGCTCTGATTGCAATGATAGTGGGTAAACCTCAATGCTAGCTGCCTTGAGGTCCATCCGCTGTCCTTCCAATCGGAGCTCGGCAATCTGACGTCACCGCAACCCCTGCGCAAGAAGCAAACACGTTTGCTCCGCGTATCCTGCATCAACTTTTCTATTCAGCAGTGGTGAAGCGAGTGTAGTTTTCTTACCTGAAAAATAGTAACTGAGTGAAGTACCAAGTTCTAACCCTCAAGAGTACTCAAGTAGAGCAGTAAACAGTAGAAAAATTGCAGCTTGTTTCTGTCATGCCTGACAAAATGTTTGTATGTAATCAACTAAGTTTGGCAGGGGAAGCATAGCCCACAAAATTTAGCTGGTGTTGGTCCCATATTTGATGTCAGTCACTTTTTCATGTTGACATTTTCCTCGTGGCCAGCTCCATGGCATATTCTGTTAAAAATAAATAATTTTGTTGCTTTTTTAGGCCTTTCACCACTTATCCCCTAAAATATGAACTGCTCACAAATATTATTTTGGTGCATACTAAATGGTGACTTTTGAAAGTATTTCTGAGATAGCAAGGTGCTTTCAAAACTATTTAAGGTACAGTGACCAGAGTAGTGTGGTTGTGTTACATAAAAGTTTGGTCCAAAGAACTGCTGCTTTGGGCTGCTGCAGGGAAAAACAGAAGGTGGGTTGGTGCTCCATTTTTTTTTATGCTTGCTATAATATTAATAGGGGGAGCACTTCCTGTTTGGTCCTTCTATCATTTTTTTTCAGCTACTTTTTCTTGGAATGCTTGGAAACTGATTCCTACCCTGTCATACCTTGCAGAAACAGGTTGATACCCGGTGGTGGAGAGTAGTTCTACGATGTCAAGGGATAATCTGGACATTCAGATCTTGCATAAATGGGAAGAATAAGTGCAAAGGGCAGATTGACAGATACTACATCCCTTTCCTGAAATAGCTATAGATGGCTGCTCACCATTTACAAACATGCTATTTTGTTTCTTAACCAAGACTGTTATTATTTTTGTTATTTATTTTATTTGCCACTTTTATCCCGAATTTGAGTTTTTACAGGAGCTGTGATTATACAAAATTATATGAAGCACCAACATTTAATAAAGTAAGCATTCCTAATAAAATCATCAACAAGTGGTTTTATATTATAAAGTGAAATTGTGCAGGATACTTATAATGGTCATCTTTCAGTTATAATATGTGGAGTATATTTTGTTGCTCCTTTGATTTTACCTTGGTATATGGGGTGGTAACAGGTGCTGACAAGTGACCAGTGGTGGTATAAAAAATACTGCATTGTTTTAGAAGTATGGAAAATAATTTATGCAAAAATTTATGCCTCTAGCATCCAGAGGTGTACTTTTTGTTTCAGCAGGTAGTTGTACCTGTTAATGACAGCTTGTTTACTGTAAACAATGCCTGTGTTCATGTCAATCAGTGACATTTCATTGTTCATCTGCTACTGCAGGCATTGTGAAAAGGTGCAAGTTAGTTGCAGTCAGAACGAATATGAATTTATTTCTTGTGGCTTTTGTTTTTGTTGGAAATGATGCTGAAACAGAGATTTTAAGTGCCAGTAGTCCTGCAGCTACAGGAATAGAATATGTTGCCCTTGCAATCTCGCTTTTTCAGTAATAGGTACAGCCATTGTTACAGAAAGGGTCCAAATTCATGTTGATCCACATATGCATAGAAAATAAGTATAACAAAGGATTTCTATCTGATGGCTGCAGCTACCCACGAGGTAAATTGAGCGCTTGTTGGCATGAAAGTGTTGCATCTTGCACGTTGGCAAGCACATAGTGCACAGCTTGAATTGCTACAATTGAGAATGACTTTTGCTCAGAACAGTGTGGTGCTTACTTTACTCAATCACTCGCTTACTTTTTTATGGGGATTTTCATTTGTGGCATGGAAAGGGGGGAGTATGCTTAGAAAAGTGTTGGATGGTTTCAATTTTACTTGGTCATGGTTTTGCAGTTTAATGATTAATTTGAGGGGCCTTCTTGAAGGGCCGCCGACAAAGCATTTATGCTCTCCAAGGTTTTTATTTGTACGTGACATATGAGAGCCCAACTGCGCAGTACAGAATTTTCGGCCCAAAATTAGTTTTCTTTCTGCCTGAAAATGGCCGATAAAGAACTGGCCGGTTTGTGTCGCGCTCACTCTCTTCACCATGATCACGTGCCATTTTCTATGGTTTATACACTACCGCCAACTATTGAAGGAAGGTAAAAAACACAGGTGAGCTGGTGAATGATATCCATAGTAACCCTGAGACGTAAAAAAAATAAAAAAAAACGGACAGTCAAACGAAGTCTCTGAGACAGCTTGAAAATTTATTTAACAACCATCGTCTTATATACCATGGCACCGACCTCCAACACAATTCAAAAGACCTCCTCGCCCACTTCGCAGCGTACCCTCGCCCTCAACATATACCGACAAACGCACACAAATGCGAACACGCCCGAAACACAAAGGGACACTTACTCGAAAAGGGAATGCAGGAACTTTTGCACTTGGCTAGGTCAGACTGAACCCAACAACACTTACAAACTCTTTTGTTCCCCTATCAAGAGACAAACAAGGTTGTCCGAAAAAGAAACCACAAAAAACCACACCCAAAGGAAAAGAAGAACCCGAACCGCGAAACAATTGACCCATCACTAAATAGAAAAAAAAAAAAAAAATTATAAACCTAGAAACATTTTTGTTCCCTTATCAAGGGAAATGAAGGTTGACTGATACAGTTCCCAAAGCTTAAAATACGCAATGGCTATTCTTCTCTCTATAAAAGACTTCAGTGCCCTCCTACTCTGGTACACAGTTGTTGCATTCGACCTCATGTTTAGCAATTTCAGAGTTTAGTGCATTATTTTTAACTGCTCTTTTGTGCTCTCCTGTCCGTTTTTTTTTTTTTATTTTTCCTACGTCTCAGGGTTACTATGGATACGACCAACTATAATTTATTTTTAATATTTATTTATTCAGATAACCCCACAGCGCCCACGAGGTCAATAGAGACCTTTCCAGCGGCAGTCTCGAACGAAGCGATTTACAGTGCGCGTGCCTGGTTTTGAGAGTGTACGTCAGTGTTGCCCGACTGCGCTGAGCTGTGGAGTTTCTCGTCAGTGGGCTGTGGCAGCCTGCGTAAGCGCAATTCTGGACGCTGGTAGCGGCTGAATTGCCGCGTTTTCTTTTTTTATTTTGTGTTCTGTGGCGAACATAATTTATAGAGGTATTTAAAAAAGCAGTGCTCTATTTTTGGGAACAAAAACAAAGAAATGAAAGCTGTTTTGGTGAGTCCGTGCGCGACAGAACAAATGCAACTGGAATGTTTGTTTCATTTTATGTTCGTCGTTTTACGGCACCGTACACTCAGCCGTGTCAATCTATACAGGTCAAAATATTTGACCACACAGGATATTCGAACTGCATGGATATTCCCCGCCCACAACATGAAATTCAATGAGTCTCATCAATCGAACAACATATATTGTACGTACCCCACGGTGCCGCGTTATCCGAACAGGATTTGAGAAAGGTCAAGCCTGGACGATAGTCAGTTTACGACAATCGGACGGTATTCGGCGTGTTTTGGGGAACATGTAGAAGAAAGCACCTTTTTTGCACAGCTTCAAAGCAAATGAACGAACGTGTCTATTCTGTCCTCACACCCCGGACCCGACCCTATCAGCTATTTTTCGCGAAGACCCGGAACACAGCCGGGAAGGCTTTTTGGAGATTATCTCAACGGAAATAATCCTCCAAGAACCTCGAACTGGCTGCGTCGCGGGCTGCTTGACGTTCGCTCTCTTCGTTCGTTTCCTGCGAAGGCCGAGCAGGCTACGAGCCTTAGTATTCCCTGGTTCTCAAAGTAAAAAATAACACAGAAAGGGTAAGCATCCTAAACAGGCGAATAAAGTAAAAACTTCCAAGAAAAGCCGGCGAACTCCGAATGCAAAATGCAGGTGGGGAGTCACGCTGACCGGGTTTCCACAGCTCAGGCGGCCAGAGCGCTCTTTTTGCAACGGTCTATAGCAGGAATTTCTGGCTGATAGGGGTCGCTCGATTCGGAAAATGGCGGCGGCCAGAGCGCTCTTTTTGCAAAGGTCTATAGCAGGGGAGGGAAAAATACAAAATAAACTTGACTCCAACTACACTGAACTGTCTATACAATCTAAAGAGGTGCCATACCCATAAATAATCAGACTGCAATAATCACAAACAATAGCATCAACAACAACAGAAAAAAAAAAAAGGGGAAACACTGATTAGCATAAAGATACTGGACTCGTAGTTACAATTTATGATAGAATTGAGAGTTTACATTTATTGAGACTATCTCTTCAGGCAGTTGATTCCAGTTTAATATAGTGCAAGGAAAAAAGGAATATTTGTATCAAAGTCGTGGGTCATTGAAGGCATACACTCAGTATTAAAAATAGAAAAGAAATATGATACAGCCTAAGCTCATTACAACAGACCTGGTTACAACAGATATTTGGATGTAACATACCGATTTGTGAAGTTCGGTTGGTTTCCCTCTGCATACCATTGACTAAACTTCCTATCTGCATAAAACATACTCCTCTTACGACAGACTGAAATCTTGGTCAAAATCAAGGTCTGTTATAACGAGCTTAGACTGTACCCAGTTTGTGTGGCGTCTAAAAAACGACAAATACATACGTTGATTGGAATAAAAACATGTTGCACAGCCACGTGACTTCCGCCAACTCTCTCCTCCTCTATATTTCTTCTTCCTCCCAAGTCTGGTTTTGGTTTTGAGCAGTTGTGTTTTTTGACTTCATGAAAAATATATGCGATGCTGTAGCAAAATATTGATTGGGTTGTCCTCTGACACCATAATAAATCACCTGGCAAAAAGAAATATTTTGGGGGTTGTCAGTGCCTTTTTTTTAAATCATAGGAAGCAGAAACGTCATGTTCATTAGACATTTTGAATGGCTGCTTCAAAAATTTTGTTTGTGAAATCTTTAACTGATGAGAAAATAATTTTCAGAGTTGCTCAACTTTTTTTTAAATATTGAAGTTTCAAGTATACTGTAAGCAACTTAATTTTTGCAGGCTTGAATTTTTGCGAATCGGGCCAAAACTGAAAGTTTAGTATTATTTGCAGGCTCGAATTGTTGCAAATTGGGGTGGTATGCTATGTATTTACTACCATAGGGAAACATATTCATGGGACCTATTTTTTGCAAATTGTAGGCGACTCACGAAATTCACAGAAATTAGGTCTTCATGAAGATTAAATCGTTTTAAGTGTGCATACTAATTCTAGCTAACATTTTTGAATTTATAGCCAATGGAAATAGCTTATCTAGAGCTTTCTAGAGATGATCTCACAATGATGAGCTTGTCAAATCTGAAATTTGAAAGGCTAAAACAGGCCTTTCCAATTTAAAAATTGAAAGGCATGATTTGATTTTTTTTCTTATATGTTCTAAAACCAAATTAATTTCATTCAGCACAACAATTCCACCCTGAGAATGTTATGAAAATTGTCCTATTGCAGTGAGATGAGAGAGGAGGAGGAAAAGGCATCAAACATTGCTATCCTCAATGGGCTGGAGTAGCATTAGTTTCTGCCACGGCTGCTTCAGTTGTTAATAACATAGGAAACAATTTGCCAAACAAGAAGATTGTGCTTTCTTTATTTTTGAAAATGCTCCCAAAACATAATTTTCTATCAAAATACAAAATATTGTCCTAAAGCCATGCCTGAGTTGAGATGAAACCACCCACACAGTTGGAATAAATTGCAAGTACATTTACCTTTGATTTTTAGTGGCTGTGTAGAAATATTTTGTGCTGCCAAAATGTTTTGACTGCTTGCCTTTTGGGAATGCCAACAAAAATGTGTTCCTTTTTAATACAGATGAGAATAGGAGAGTAGTAATGGTGTATTACATCTAGTGACTTACTGTAAGATACCTCTGAAGTGCCCACATCGTTCAAGAGCCCACTATTAACGTGTTCCAAACTTGGGGAAATTTGCAAATTATACATTAGGGGCAACTCCGGGCAATATTTTTGAATTTGGAATTATGACAGTTTTCAGCCAAAGCAGTAACTCTAAATTACAAGGTTTAAATTTTTTTTTTTTTTCGATATTGTGTGCAGTTTGATGAATACCATGGTTCAAAGTTTGGTTTCGGGCGTCTAAGGCAAAACAAACTATCTGCTAGAGGGATGGCAGAACTGCAGCATCAGCTGTACGGCCGTGACGTGACGTCACGGGGGTGCTGCTGACTAAAAGCTAACCTGCTTGCCGTCTGCCAGATGGCAGCCGTTCGCATCTTCAAAATGGGTTTTAATGGAGTATGCAGCTTCACTTTGCTATAATATTTCGGCTGTGGTCATATCTCGTGCCGCTAAAGTTATACCAATAATTTATTTCGGTTTCGTTTAAAGGGGCACTTGGCAGTTTTTTCATGATCGCTGATTTGCCTCAAAATCGGCTCAACACACCAATAGACACGGCTGTGCCTATTCTCCACGTATTGTGTGAAAAGAAAAAAACATTTCGCGAAGTTATTAAATTTTCGAATTTCGTTTTCATTGTGTTTTGTTAAACCGGGAGCCCCTACTGGCAAGATTGAAGTGTGACGACAGAAATGGTACAAAGTGGGCAGTAAGCCATGTTCCCAACTGATTGCAAGTTGTTTGATGGTGGGAAAAGAATGCTTGGTAGCTGATACAGTGAGAAGCATGCAAAAACACTTGACATACTCTGTTTAAGACTACCTGCACAACCTAAAAGTCTGTACCATTTGTGACGTCATCACACCACTGGAGAGCGCGTGGAAATTTGAATGCTGGTTTCGGCATTATCTTCATTTACGGTTTTCTCAATTGCTACTTTGAATTTCAAGAAAATAAATAGCATACCGTGAAGTATGCTATTTATTTTCAGGCAGTCAGAAAATGCAATTTGTTTGGGTAGTTCAAAAAACAGCCGAAGTACCCCTTTAAGCGCTCGATTTGACCATACAAATGTCCATGTCTAGATTAATCCAGTTTTCAATGAAAGTGTGATATGCACTCCCCAGGTACTTTACGGTATATGCTGGATTCTGTTTTTAGGTTTGTATGTGCATGGAGTACTGTAATGCTTGCATTCCAGTGATTTTGGAGGAAGCCTTGATGACATGCAATTTTAAGCATGATACCATTATTTCATTATTGAGATGTGAACTTCGCAAATCGTGGAATAATTTTCGAACTGTTCCTTGGGACTTTCCAGGCTTGCTTCATGGTTGTTTTCTTTTTGTTGTAATGTGTAGCGTGGCATCTGGCTACAGTAAATCTTATTTTTTAACAAGATAACATAGCTGCTTTTTTTTTGTGCTATGCTCAATTTATCTGCAAACTATAGCTAAATAGAGTGAAACACCTTTGAAGCTCTGTGATTTGTGAACAGATGTTATGACTGTTTGCACAATTATATTGTGTCTGCTGTGTGATGGAATGCCTGTCCACTTTTTCTCATTTCAAACATAATTTTATACTTTAAACATTAGGGCAGTTTATGTAATGGTAGAGTTTTCCATGAACATAACAGTGGGTGAATACTTAGGGATGTACAGGGTGAAGTCGTGAGGACCAACACATTTGGCACGCTTTGCAAAATTCAAATTTCAAACGTACATGCCTGCAAAAATGAGCGTGCAAACATGGTTTCATAAGAAGTTTTATGTCTATTTTTGTTAGAGCTCAACTCGAAGGTAGTGAAATATTAAAAATAAAGGAAAATAGCAGGCCGTGTATTTTCTATGCCCTATACCAGCCTATTTGTCGTCTGTGCACTGGTTTGTGAGTGTGCCCCCAGGTGGTCGTCGTTCATATATTTCGTTAAAAGTAGTGATTATTGGGATTATCTCGCTCATTTCCAGCCTCTACTATTGGTGTTTAGTTTGCATTCAGCAAGCCACCCGGGAGCACTCTACCTAGAGTGCCCATTTACAACATGAATATCACTCTTGTAAAATTTTCACCACAACAGTATGTGGCTTAGCAGTTCATCACTCTCTTGGTAAGGCAGAAATGTTTCAGGGCAGATGCGAGCTGTCGCTCTGTTTTAGCTGACTTTGAATTTTGTGTGGCTAGGTACCATGACAAGCTTGAGGCTATTCTGCATGATTTATAAGTAGTTCTGACCGAACATTATTAGCCTTTATGCTGCATGGGAAGTGATCACATTTAACCTGGGCAGATAACCTTAGAGGCTTTAGCTTCCATTTGCTAAGTCTGTGGGTGCTGTTGCTTTTCAGATATCAAATCGAGACAAGGTGATTACATCGTTCATTGCCGGAGCTCTAGCTGGATCTCTTGCCAAGACAACCATAGCCCCACTAGACCGCACAAAGATTAATTTTCAGAGTAAGAAATTTTTCAAGCACTTATCCCTTGCTCTTACCGTACATCTGGAGATTTAGCCCACCTTCAAGAGAGAACCCACACCTGTCTTCTTTTCTAGCTTTCTGCCTTTTTTTTTTAAATAATTAAAAAATTATTTATTATAATAATATTTATACCGGGAGGAGGAGGGGAGGGTACAGAGGACCCCCTCCTCCTCCTCCTCCTTCTTCATACTTTCCCCTCCTCTCACAGTTTCTCCACAAAATTTAGCTGGAAAATTGACGCCCTGTGACCTCAACACCAGTTCAATTTCCCAGCTAAATTTGGTGGGGGATATGACGTCACATGGCTTCGTGTCACGTCACCTATGAAAAAAATTCAGTTTCTTCGCAAGATTTAGTGGGACAATTGGTCACTTGACCTCACACCAATTCAATTCCCCACTAAATTTAGCGGGAAAACTGAATTGGTGTTGAGGTCTGGTGACGTCGGTTTTACTGCTAAATTTAGCGGGGAAACTGAATGCGCAGTGTTGCATTATGGGACGTCACGAACCTACACATTCAGTTTCTTTGCTAAATTTAGCTGGGAATTGAATTGGTGTATAGGTCTGTGACATCCCATAATGCAACACGCGTGGTTACACTGACGGCGACGCCGATGCCGTGAAACGCGGGAACGAGCACCTAAGAGCTGCACTTTATAAACTGTGCAGAATATGCCCTCAAGGTTTTGGGTGGAATCAGGGTTAGATATCGTAAAATACAGATTAGAGTTTGGTTGTGCGCCGAGCTCTCCTCTAACCGAGCTCTCCTCCTCAAGTTTAAAGCTTTTGGAAGCTTTAAGATTGACTAGTTTAGGAAGTTTATGCAAACTTGAGGAAGTGGCTACTCTCACACTTTGTCATAATCATCCTGTAATTTTGGTGGGTGGCCGTTTAAGTATTTTACTGTAGGGCAAAACTAGGCAAAGTACTAAAGGCTGGTTGACATGTTTGCATTTGAGTCTGATCTACTGCGGGTCTTGCGGTGCTTGCGAGATCGAGTCTGCACGCTAGCAACGAGACACAGTTGCTTACAAGACCGTCATAATTATTTCGAGTGAACGGCAAAATAATGATGTGTAAAACGTGCATAGTTCGGAAGCGTTTCAGTGCCACCCGATAGATGGCAGCACGTTGTCTCACCGTAAGCGGTTGCAATGCCATCAAGCACGCTCACAAGCAAATGCGTGAACCAGCCTTTAACGCGAGATGTGCGTTGGTCTGATGCCGTGCATGCTTTCTCCTTCCAGTCCACAATGAGCAGTTCTCTTTTCCCAAGGCAGTCAGGTTCCTGGTCAATAGCTACAAGCAGGACGGCCTGCTCAGCTGGTGGAGGGGCAACTCGGCCACCATGGCTCGGGTGGTCCCCTTCGCGGCATTTCAGTACACGGCCCACGAGCAGTGGAAGATCCTCCTGAGGGTCGACACAAACGAGCGGAGGTCAGACCGCATCCTGCGTTTTTTGTTAAGTTGTGGGCGATTAGAGCGACGCGGCTTTATGTGGGAAGCCTCTACAAACCTTCCTTGCTCCGGTGTCACATTGCACGTGTTACATTGTGTGTCATTTCAATAGCGACCGCTGCTCATTAAACATCCTATAGAGTGATATTGCACCTTCATTGCAGTGATGCCTAAGCCAGGCAATTTTTGTTGGGAGGGTGGGAGAGAGAGGGAGGGGGGCTGTTTAGGAGGTGGGGATGTTAACATGCCACAGTTCAGAAGCATGTGGTTGTTGCAACTGTTTTTGGTTGCCCGCATCATACACCTTGCATTTTGTTTCTATCTCCTTGTGCTTCGTGCTGGTCCGTGTACATATTTTGACAATTTTTGTGTTGGTGCTTAATACCAATCTAGTCGCAGAGAATTGGTGGAGAAGTATTTGTAAAGAATTGCATGTACGGTCAGAGGCATCCACAAGCGCTAAATGTGGAATGTTGTCAGATAAGAACAGCTAATGAGAACAGATAAGGACGTTCAATGACGGCCATGAGAAATGAGTGCGGAAAATAAAAGGAACTATCAGCTTTCTTAGCCGTGGCTCCGCAGATTGAGTGTGATTGAGGGTTTAGTTTAATGGGGGGGGGGGGGGGGGGGGGGGGAACCAACAATTTAAATGGACATCTCTCTTATGCTATAATAATTATGCCATTATAATTCGTGGCACTTCACTTATTGTCAGACGCATATCCTTTTGTTGCCGTGGATGCGGGTGACACAAAATAACCCTATGACTTTGATAAAACTGCGCTAATTACCAATAATGACACTGGGACTGGAAAGAAGGCGCAGCATACATAAATTAGCACGTGTATGTTGCGCCGTCTTTCTAGTCTCGCTTTCATTACTCGTAATCCTTCGCAGCGCAGTTTAATTAACGCATGAAAAACAAACTAGCCCAATTTCAAGCACTGTTAGACCCCCTGACGTTTCATTCTGGCCATTTTAAGGAGCTGGAGAATGAACTGTTTGTGCGACTGCTTGTGTACCTAATTATGAATGGTGTAGATGTGTGAGCTCGGGAGTGTCTGGTTTGTTTCCCTGGCGCAGGAGGAAGAGTCACTTCAAGACATTCCTCTCTGGATCCCTCGCCGGGTGCACTGCATCCGCGCTCACCTATCCTCTAGATGTCGCACGGGCAAGGATGGCTGTCTCAAAGCACGAGAGGTCGGTCAGTTGTTGTTGTTCAGTCCTGGAGAATGGACTATTTTGTCCAGAGTAATAAACTTTAGTTGAGCTTGTTGGTGCATAATACTATAATAGGGCCAGCTGAACTTAGAAAAATAGAATATAGAGAGAGAAAAAAAAAAAAAATGAATGCCATTTACAACACTCTGTAATGCTGAATTAGAGCACAGCTCTTGAGGCGGAGGAGGGGAAGGTATGGAGAGGGGGCTATGCCTCTCTTCCTCTCCTGCTCGCCTCCCATTGAGGGGAAAATTGTCCGCTAAATTTAGCGGAAAAAATTCCCCGCTAAATTTAGCAGGGAAATTTTTCCGCTAGATTTAGCAGAGAATTTTTTCCGCTAAATTTGGCGGGAAAATTTTTCCGCTAGATCTAGTGGGAAATTTTTTCTGCTAAATTTAGCGGGGAAAATTTTCCTTTAAATTTAGCGGGGAATTTCGCCCGCACACTTTAGCGGGGAAATTTTTTCGCTAAGTTTAGCGGGGACAATTTTCCGCTAAATCTAGCAGGGAAATCTTTCCGCTAAATTTAGCGGGACAAATTTTCTGCTAGATTTAGCAGGGAAAATTTTCTGCTAGATTTAGCGGGAAAAATTTTCCGCTAGATTTAGCAGGGAAAATTTTCAGCTAGATTTAGCGGGAACACTTTTCCGCAAAATTTAGCAGGGAAATTTTTCTGCTAGATTTAGCGGGGTAAATTTTTCCGCTAGATTTAGCGGGAAAATTGTTCCGCTAGATTTGGCGGGAAAATTGTTCTGCTAAATTTAGCAGGGGAAATTTTCCACAAAATTTAGCGGTGAAATTTACCCATCATGCGCCGTGTGGTTACGCCGACGCTGACGCCGCTCAAGTCGGAAATGAGCGCCTAAGAGCTGCGCTCTAAAAGGAGACAGACATACTTCTGATATGTCTGTCCCTTTTAGAACGCAGCTCTTGGACGCCTGTTTCTGGCTTGAGCAGCGTCGCCGTTATTGTCGGCGTAACAGCGCATTGCATTATGGGACGCTTTCTATAATGAGATCACATATCACGTCACGAGGGAGGAGGAGGAGAAAACTTTCTCGCTAAATTTAGCGGAAAAATTTCCCTGCTAAATTTACCGGAAAATATTCTTTGCTAAATTTATCGAAAAAATTTCCCTGCTAACTTTAGCAGAAAAATGAAAAATTTTCCTGCTAAATTCAGCAGAAAAGTTTGCCTGCTAAATTTAATGGCAAAAATTGCCCACTAAATTTAGTCGAAAAATTTCCCTGCTAAATTTAGTGGAATAAATTCTCCCGCTAAATTTATGGAAAAAATTCCCTGCTAAGTTTAGCGGAAAAATTTTTCCGCTAAATATAGTGGAAAAACTTTTTCCGCTAAATTATACGGGAACTATTCTGCTAAATTTAGCGGAGAAATTTTCCCGCTACATTTAGTGGAAAAATTTCCCTGCTAAATTTAGTGGGGAATTTTATGCGCTAAATTTAGCGGGGAATGTTTTCCACTAAATTTAACAGGGAATTTTTTTCTGCTCGGGAAATTCTTTTTGCTAAATTTAGCGGGGAAATATTTTCTCTAAATTTGAAGGGAAATTTTTTCTGCTAAATTTAGCGGGGAAATTTTTCCGCTAAATTTAGCAGGAAAATTTTTCCGTTAAACTTAGCGGAAAACTTTTTCCGCTAGATTTAGCAGAAAAATTTTTACACTAAATTTAGCAGGGAGTTTTTTCCGCTAAACTTTGCTAATTTAGCAGAAAAATTTCCCCGCTAAATTTAGTGGGAAATTTTTTCCACTGAATTTAGCGAGAAATGTAGCGAAAATTCCCGCTAAATGGGAGGGGAGCAGGAGAGGAGGAGGGGAGGGTAAGAAGGGGAGGAGGAAAACCTGTCCCCTCCGTACCCTCCCCTTCTCCTCCTCCTCAAGAGCTGCGCTCAAATTCGGCATTACAGGGAGTTGTAAACGTCTTTCATTTCTTTCTCTCTATATTCTATTTTCCTAAGTTTAGCTGGCTCCATTATAGAGTTTTGCCCTTCACACCTTTATTTGAAGGTGTCTTGAAAACACTGAATTACTCTAGAAGTGGATTCTACACTTGGTGCTTTCAAATGAAAAATATTGGGGATTAAGGAAGCAGTCTCCAATTTTCGTCAAGGGTGTATTTTTGTGGTGTGAAATTTGTGAAACCTTGTGAAATTTCAAGGAATACCGTGAAATCTCGAGAGATAATCCACCTAACATCAAGAGCAAATCAGTTGAAAAGATTGAGTGGCCTAACTTTCGGTGTACAATGAAAAAAATTTTAAAACGTTACTATTTTTAGGTTTTGTTCCTTTCAAGCTTGTTATGGTGGCGAGGGGCAACGAAGCAAAGATGACTGTACTTCCCATCTAGCAGCGTTCGCTTATATTCCGCCATAGCTAACTAGCCGCATTTACGCCGAGGTCATCATTGACCCAATACTTCTATTGCTAAGAGTCGGGTACCTTTCGTTGTTTAAAAAAAAAATAGCAAATCAAGCCAAAAATAGGGGTGGGCTATCTTTCGGGGGTGGGGCATCTCTCAAAATTTTACGGTATATAGTTTGCATGAAAGATGAGGTAACACCCTTGAATTCGTCAGTGGCAGACAGCAATGCATGCGACCGATTTAACCGAAAGTTGTACTTGTGCAGGGGTGTGTCATCTGCTCCAATTGAGCCATTTTGATACAAACCCAATTTTCTGTGCCTAGTTGCGCCAAAAATGCGAAATCTGTCGAAATTGTGCCACACTGCGCCAAAGTAATACAAAAGCAAAAAAAAAAAGTTTGCGGCGACGCTAGATTTAGCGGGAAATGAGAGCTTGGTTGGCAACATTCAATCTCGTCGTAGTAAAGTACACGACACGGGTACAGGGTAACGCAAGCAACTGCCGAATTCGAAGATTTCAGCTGTAGTGCCCTTCTATACCCATAATACGTGATCTTTTCCCGATTTTCCTACTACTTTCCGCTGTCATTTGTGACTGCATGCTAAGGGTGCGCTGTCCCGCGGTCTCGCTGTCTGGCCGCGGGAGGTGCGACGCACAGGCTATCATGATTTTCCTTTTCTTAAAAGACACATGCAAAGGAACAAAACTTTTTTTTTTAAACAGGCTAGATGGAAAAAGAATATTATAAAACAAATTTACAACGAAGGAAAAAAAAATAAATTTAGAACTATATTTACGGCGCAACACAAATTAGTAGTTGGCACCCGCAGAGCCACCACTGGTCACATGGTAGACCTGCGCGCCGCCGCGCTACGTCGCCGGCGCCGCAAAGTCACGCCGCCACCGCACGCTGAGCGTTGTGCGACGCCGCTTCAATGCGTTTCTCCACGCCGCTGTCACCGCCGCCGCACAAGTTTGTCTGCTTCGGGGTGCCGCCGCCGTCATCTGACTGGCGCACAGGTCTAACACGTCTGCTTGCGCTTTCTCAGGAGTTTCCTTTGGGCTCTAAAAGTTACTTATTGATCTTAGTTTTTTGTTATTCTTCAAACAAAGATGAATAAGTTACTTTTAGAGGCCATAGGAAGCTTCTGAAAGAGCGCAAGCACCACGTGATAAATAAGGGCCAATCACGTGATAAATAAGGGCCACTTTTCTGCAGCGCCCGCGGGCGCCAACTAAAAATTTGTGTAGCGCCGTAAATATAGCTCTAAAAATTTTTCTTCTTCGTTGTAAAATCGTTTTATGACGTCCTTTTTCTATCTAAGCTGTTTAAAAAAAATGTTTTTTTCCTTTGCATGTGTCCTTTAAAGGGCCTATGAAACCAATTTTGGGCTGGGATAAATCAATTTAGATTGGGATTTTACTAATAGCACATTGTTCAGTGGGCCAAAAGGAAAAAGGTAGAAAGTCAAAAGCCTGACTTTTGGTCCGAAAAATTGAAAACACAGCGGACTATTCCATACCTCCTTCCCTTCCTAAGCTCTCTGCCCTTTCACTGTGATACATCCGCGGTCCCCGCAGCACGTCACTGGGTCCAAACGCACGTCACACGACACCGGGATCTCACTTATTCCCTTCACCCCTAAGCTTACATTGCTGTGGAAGCTACACGCTTGCCGTACCAATCAGCCGCCTCTCTTTCATCACCTGACCTCATTTCATTCTCTGCGCGTGGGTGTGCGCGAGAGAGCATCATCACGTGGCAAAAGTGTGGCTGGCCCAACGAGCACTTAGCTTCCACAACATTGTCAGCTTCGGGGTGAGTGGGGTGGGGAAAGCAACTTTTGTCTGAATTTTGAGCAACGGGCTAATCTTCTAGAAGGGGGGAAGGGCTGTGTCCAGGTGCACAAACGAGAGTCCGAGCAAGAGGTGACTCCCCCTTTTCCATCTTCTTGAACTGTTTGGTACAATGCACAATTTATGAGTTGAGGAGGAAAGCTAAACAGGAAAAAGTTGGAAAATTGTTTTATGACCACTTTAAAAGTGCTATTGAGCACCTCCATTGCGTAATTGTTCATTCGTGTCCGTAATCTCGTCAAAATGGATGGCGCCGTCGCCGTGAGTACTTTCGGTTATCACACACGTGCTTCCAGTGCGTGAGCTATCGAAGGAATCGGTCACACACCCATATTTAGCGTACATGTGGAGCTCATAGTTTTTCTACCAATTCACTATTTACCTTGTGACTCACTTTTGTGGGGAGTCTTTTCTCTCTGCACGTGCTTTCTATGAGCGTCCGATTGATGTCTGGTTGTAGTAAACCGTGCTTCCCTGTTCATGCTCTCGAATCACCGCTTTAAAAAGTTTTGCACTACAATTGAGGGGCTACGTGCAATAGTGGTACAAGTGCAAATGCAGAGCTTGCCAAAAAGTCGCTCAATAATTTTATCTGTGCCTGTCAATGTCAATATAGCGTTTGAACTTTGAATATATAAGTGTACAGTGTTTCCTCCACCAAAAGTAGAGTGTCGCATGTATAAGTGTAACATCTGGGACCGTGAATATCACGAAAGGTACAAGTGTACTTGTACCATTATTGCACGTAGCCCCTCAATTGCGCTTTGGCACCAGTTCGTATAAGCTTGAGGTACCTGGTGCCCACCTAACTTTGCAGCAAGCCTGTGGTTCCTGTCCTTATCTATGCGCATAAAACTCGCGTTTGCCTTTTCCGTTTCTTTTTTTCTTTTATATTTTATCTTGATGCATATCGGCACTGATCACTTATTGGAACCAGGGTCGACAAAAATAATGATTAAAAAAGAAAAATAGGATTTATTTGATTTATATCAGATTTTTTTATGATTTAAATTGCTGATAAGCTGCTCTAACATTTTGTGCTCCTAATCTGCTCCAAACTGTAGACTTTTGTGCTTCAAAGTTGCTGCAGAATGCATACACAGCTGCTCCAAAACGAGAATTTTGTGCTCCTAGGCTGCTCCAAAATCCAGATTTTTCTGCTCCAAAAATTGCTCCAAAACCTGTGTCACGTGTCTCACCCCTGCTTGTGGCATCATCTCCCGATAAATGCAGCAAGCATACGATAGCATTGTCTGCTTCCTTCCGAGTGTCATCGTCTGCTTGGTACATCTGTTGGGAGATTGTGCCATAAGCGTAACCCTCAGTTAATCTGGCTGTCTGCCTCACTGTCTGTCATCAATGATGTCAAGGGTGTCCTTATTTTTCGCACAAATAGAGCCATGTCTTGAAATTTCGCAAGGTAAAATGTGCCACTAAAATACATCTTAGAGTGAGCCCTGGTGTTCCTAACACCCTGATGTGTCCATTTGCCCACATGGTGATTTCTTAATTAAAATTCTACCAGTTTGAGTATAGCAATTACAACAAAATCTGCCTTTATGACATATACTATGTTGCGAAGGTACGTAAATAATAATTGGGTTGTGGGGATATTTATACAGCGTGTCGTTGGTCAGCCATTGAAGTTGCGACGAGTCACTCGCTGTAGATGAGCAATTTAGCCAGTGCAGTACAACCGCTAGCCTGGGGTCTTTAACGTGCACCACGCAGTAGTGATACACGACTGCACGTCGGTACGATGCTCATCCAGATCGAAACGGGCAGGGGTGGGGCTCGAACCCAGGATCCCTGGGTTCTGCAGCGCGAGCTTTCGCTCCACGCGCGTCGAGCTGGGTGTGCGCTTCTGCCCACTCGGCCACCGATTGGTGGCCGAGTGGGCTGTCTTATTTGCTTTTACGCTGTTTTGGAACCTGGGAAAAATCACCTCACCGATAATTGCCGATTGTAGCAATTCCTTTAGAAAATGGACGAAAATACACCTTCTTTCTCAAATAAGTAAATTGAAGAACTTCCACAGGTTTCACCCAGAAATACCTTAACTTCTTATGTACAAGTCACTTCTTTTATTCTTTTTCACCAATTTTAGTAGGTTTTATAACAACAGTTAAACATATGTTTTTTTTGTTTCTCTTTTATAAGTTCGGAGCTTATCTGTGCAGGATATACCAGGCCATATGGATGTTTACTCCGAAGGAGAAACAACGGAACACTCGCCGATGGCCTGCTCTTTTGGCAGTTCAAAGATGGCCCATGACTGCAGTGACTACTGTGTGCGCCGTCCTTCGCGGCACTCCATAACTTTGTGCGACTTATATACCAACTTTTTTGTAAAAACGGCCGTTTAATAGGGGGGGGTGCACTTATAGAACAGAAGGTATGGGAACCTAAAGTATAAATATGTAACCCAAGATTAATCCTGGTGCCAGTGAGCTTTAGACGTCCTAGATTTTCAGTTTCCTATTTGGTCATGCTTTTTTTTATTTTTTATTTTAGGTATCGCAACATTGTTCATGTGTTCCACGAAATCTTTCACAAAGAAGGTGCCCTGAAGCTATACCGGGGATTTGCACCCACCATGCTGGGTGTCATTCCTTATGCCGGCACAAGCTTCTTCACGTATGAAACTCTCAAGAGGCTAAGAGCAGGTGAGCTATACATTTTGGGGTTTGTTTCATATGGGGCAGCTCATTTTAGCCTAAAACTGGTCGATAAGACTGAATCAGTTTTCTAAGCTTGCTTGTTGTGCTTTTCCACAAAGAAATGAAGCAGATATGTTCAAAAGCCAATCTAATCCATACTCATTGTCCCCTTAAGAAAAAAAAAAAGCAGGGTTTGCACAAGATACATAAGTCGCACTGAAGGAGCTGTTGAGAGATTTGACTGATGGAGGAAAAGATGATTCTTTTTCCATTTGAGACATAAACATTAAAACAAATATCAGATTTTAAATGCACATGTAGTACAGGTGTTATTTCGATTCACTACATAAAAAGGGAAGATTAGTAACGCTTTAATTACCGCAGTTCTTGAGGTGAAAACGAGTATATAGATTTGACACAGACATTTGTTAGGGACAGTTCTAATTAGAAGTATTTAAGTGACCACAGTTTAGTTACAATTTAGGAAGCAAGTAGTTTCCTGGCTACAATGAATTTTCAGCAATTGTAACTTGAATATAAATATAATGGGAAGAACATAAAACACGAGGGCGGACGTTTAGAGCGGCGTTTCTTCGTTGGCATGCTCCCTAACTCGTGAATACATCGGCCGGACTGACTGATGTATTGGGAGCTTCAGCCATGAGGGATGAAATAAACACGCTGTTTCTTGCATGGGAGACAAACTGTGGCATGTTTTCTGTGGCAATTTTTTTGGAGGGTTGAGAGTTTTGACCATTTTACTTATAGAAGTAAAATGGTAAGAAAAGTAAAGCTTTCTCTCTCCTTCACCAGTTCTTAAAGCTCCTTCTGTCCCTTTCCCCCTCTCCCCCTTTTTTTTCCTTTATGCTCTATGGTTTCCTTTACCCTTCCCTGATAATGCATCCCGTAGCCTCACCCTTCTTCGGGAGAAAGACCCTGGCCTGCAGAGTTGTCATTAAACAGCGCTGCCAGTTGGGAAATCTCCTTGTCCGCCCTTGTGTTTTATGTTCTTCCCATTTTTTATATCAGCCTTACCATCACGCTCTCGCTTCCAAGTGTAACTTTAAAATTATGGAGTAACTTGTAATTGAGATAAATTACAGTGACTACGGTACTCAGTTATGTTCGTAAATACACAAATTCACATTGATTTGATTTAAACTCGCTGTCAGCACCACATGTTGTCACTTCCTCAAGCTCTGGCATGAGCAGTGTCCAGAATCAGAAGAAACTGTGCCAACGTCTTTTCTGCTTTAGAAACTCTGCAGTTGATCAGCAATTCCAGCACATCTCGACATCACGGGATATATTGAATGTAATTGGAATGTAACATATTGTATTCTCTGCTATTGTAGGGACTGGCAAGTCTGTTGGCATAGATCTCAAAGAAATAAAAGCTTGGAACCTAGAAAAACGAAGGCGAACAAACACACACTTTTAGCTCTATCTGTCTTTGTCCCTGTACGTGCCAGGCTTTAATTCCCTGAAGGTGGTTCTTTAGCTCGACTACATTTCAGTTCACGAAACGGTCACCATAACTTGAATTGCTTTTCCAGAGTTACTTTTACAGCCCTAGTAGTTGGAAAGGAATGTAAGGATTCATTCAGGCCCAATTCACACCGAAACTAAAGCAGTATTCACACGGGGGAGAAATTTCAGGATTTCTTCCCGGCACAAGCATCAAGCGACAAAACTGCGAGGCTTTTATGATGCGGCGCTGCGACGTCGGCTCCGTAGTGGAGAGAGGGACACAGGCTCGGGTGGTTCTAACAATCCCGTTTTGGTGATGGATCAGTTGTTTTCAATAATCGATTGTCATTGAACGCTTTGGCATCAAATGTAGAGAGCGCTAAATTCGTCTGCAGTGGTGTCAAGAGCGGAGGTAGCTAAATTGGTCCGCAAAGGCTGGCATCTCTCCCTTCGGCACTTTGTCGGCGTGGACGACGAGGCCGAGGAACTGCGCCCGCTGCCTAAGTCACGCGTATCTTTCTGCGGATTTTTCCCCCATGTTAATGCTGCTTTCGACGTGCCAGCGTGTGGCGCCATACTGTTCGTTCTAATAAATGACGGAAGGAGTAGACAGCTGGATCGAGAGGCTTCTCCTCTCCCATGCCGAGCTTCGAGAACAGCCGCTAAAAGGCAGTGCTTCGTGGCCCGTCTCTCCAGAGAGCACGGGCTCTTCGGAGCTGCACCCGGCTGAAAGGCTCGTGTTTGGGGCCCTGGGGGGCCTCATCGGCCAGTCGAGCTCCTACCCGCTGGACATAGTGCGGCGGCGGATGCAGACGGCGCCGCTGACCGGCCACGCGTACACCAGCATCTGGGGCACCCTCCGGTCGGTCTACCTCGAGGAGGGCCTCGTCGGGGGCCTCTACAAGGGCCTCAGCATGAACTGGGTCAAGGGCCCTATCGCAGTCGGCATCAGCTTCATGACCTTCGACATCTCCCAGCAAGCCCTGAGGAAGGTCATTGTTGTCTCCGGCGGGTCCGAGCACGCGCCCGCGCCCGTGAGAGACTAAAGCTTGCACGGCGACAGACAGTCGCTGGGTCGTGTTCAACGGGCCTCCTGGAAACGCTGCTCCATAAGGGTTGCATCGTCCGTTTTCGAAACTCGGAAAGGGAAGAGCGGTGGCCTCCGTCCGCAGAGCATGCGCACGCATTGATGTGCCAGACAGTTGCTCGGTCGTGTCCGGCGCGACGCCACTGCACTGAGAAAGTGACCTTTTTTGATTGGTAACGCAGAAAGACTAGAGCAGTGGCATTGAACGCGTAATGCACCGAACAATCCCTCGGTCGATCGGGTCTGCGGCGACTCTAAAGATTCCTTCCGGAATGCCACGTCGCCGCACATACAAACTGTGTCCCATTTATCACTTTTTTTTTTTTTTTTGTTGGGGTGACGTACAGCAGAATCCCCCTCGAGGTGGTCGTGAACCTATGAGGCAAGGCGTCCGTCGTTTGACAGCGAGGGGGACTCGGAGGCGTTGCACATCCACCTCTCCGAGCAGCTTCTCTTCTAGTCAGTAACGGTGAGAAAAGGGATTGCGGTACGGGGAGGTTTACTCGAGGGGGCTTTGCCGTATTATGTAATTGTAGATAATCGGAGGAAATTATTTTCTAGATGGATCGTTAGACGTATATTCTTTGGTTAATAAAAAAAGTGATTATGAACCTGTGGCAGGCGGGCTCTTCCTTGCTCTTCGTTCTTCAAAACCGTAATGAGAGGAATCTGGAGTTGGGCAAGTTGGTACATCTTAGATTCGAAAAGCGACAGAAAACAAGGACAACAGAAGGAATAGACGAAACGATGCGCTTTTCGCGCATCGTTTCGTCTATTCCATCTGTTGTCCTTGTTTTCTGGCGCTTTTCGAATAAGTAATGAGAGGTACGTATACAGATTGTTTGATTTTAATCCAAACATTTTTTTTTTAGTATAGGGTGTGAAAGTTAGACGAGTTCAGTCTACCATGTATTTACCAGGCTTGGCGGACATTAGATGAAGGGATAATCGTCCCGATAGGCTTATTAATTGACTAAAATTTCTCGATTAACTTTTTAAGTATTGGTTTTAGGGGTCATGTTGGAATTGCAGTATTGACGGAAATTACTATTAGAGGCCAGACATAAAGAATTTGCAGAAAGGTAATGGTTTTTAAATTATTAATCATTAAACTTTTGCATTTTCTCATTCGATTGGAAAATTGCTTTTAAAAAGAGTGTTGCAAGTCCTGTCCACAATGTTGCTTGGAAGAGTGATGTCATTTCAATCATGTTATCACTATTTCGGCACAGAGTCCTTGGTTGGTACACTGACGACACGAGTGACGACGTGACTTAAACGACTTTGTCACTCTTTGAAGTCTCATTGTAGGCAGGGCTTGATGCTCACAACTTCATTCTGGGCAGGCAAAAAAAAGAAAAAAGAAGTGAAAATTTATTAATTTATTTTTCAAAAACAATTTTCTTTTTGCAAATTTTTTCAACTGGTCTGGCCTCTAATAGTAATTGCTGTCAATACTGCAATTCCCCCACGACCACTAAAACCATAATGAAAAAGTGAATGAACAAATGAGTTAATTAGTCAACTTCGCATGACGATTATTCCTTCATTTAATGTACGCCGAGCGTGATAAATACAAGGTGAAGACGGCACTCGCCCAACTCTCGCCCCCTTTTTTAAAAAACATGTATGAATTAAAATTAATTATTGTGTATATCGTGATGTCTAATCATAAATTAATAAACATCTAAGATTTTCTTTTTTTTTAGTATTAACTTCTTTTTGGAAGTTCTACACAAAAAATATTGTTCTGGCTGCCTTGTCGCAAGTGTCGGTTGTGTTTCAGTGACTAATGATGGTGCCATTTATGTTGACACCAACCTTGAAGTTTATTCGGAATACTTCTGAATTCTAGAGGGGTTGGAGATATGTTACTTTAGTTATAGGAAAATGGCTGGCATTTATCATAAATGGCTCAGCCTAGGTTGGAAATGCATGAAGTTAGAGCCAATGTCATTATTCTGATGTCAAAGGGGCTTATGCATTGTGTGCAGGCTGGCATGATATGGTTTTTGCCTTTCCAAAGTGTGATGTTGCAACATTCTTTATGAAGTAAAAAAAGAAGAGGAACAAGTCTGCTCGACATTTGCAAAAGCTCGATGAAACTGTAAATTTTATAGTGCTACTTCGCCGTTTCTCTAGCTCTCCCCCAACTTAATTTGGCTCGCATAAGCTTGAACCATTTACCATAGAATGTATCATAGTGTGGATGCTCTCGCTTCACGCAAGTAATGAAAGTGAGCTCAAAGGGGCTCTGCTAGTTCCTTTAAACCTGCAGCTTTTGCCACCGTCAACAAACTGCACAGATAGCCATACAAATTTTTCATTGGGTATTCTCTGTTGTTTTCGTAAGTACCGAAACACAACGTTAATATTCAGATGGTGTAGGCCAGATAAACAGAAAAATATTCTGTGATCTATAGTCGGGGGCGGTTGAAAAGCCAGCAGATGCTCTGCGCCAAAAGTGTGAGCTTCCTGCCTGTGATAACACTTTGTCGCACGCGCAGCCAAAGCCTGGAGGAAGGCAGGCTTTGGCAGTCACCAACCGTCGGCTTGCAGTGCTAAATATCAGAACGAGTGTTTAGCATTGTCTCCTTGTAATGCCAGCCTGTTGGGTACAAACGCAGGTCCGCGGCTTTTGCACGTGTTACCCTGTCTTTCAAGTAGTCGGCACTCGTTATTTTTGCATTAGCACCGAGCTTTGTGATCGCTGCATCTAATGAGCCACAGGCATAGTCATTGTCGAGTTGATACCTCAGCTTTATCTATGATATGGAGTCGAAGCTGAACGATTCCTTACAGTAGACATATTGCATCAAAATATTTGCTCATGGGAACAAGATTGTTTCATTATTGGCATAACAAATCTCTGACCTGCTTGTTGGTTCAACAACACTCGAGCTACAAGATGTAACCTAGTCGATGATGAAACGGTAAAGGGACGACTGGTTCGTACACCAGTCTCGCTTCAGTGCAACATGTTCAGTGTTTTGTATGCCATCGCATCACGACTTGATACATGACGCAACCCGATGAAAAGTCGTTGCTGGTAAAGGGAGTGAATTGTGGTGCCAGTGATTCCGTCCCGTTATCGAATGCCACGATTGTAGTTTGATGTCTGGGATCCTCTTGATTGTACACGTGTGCAGCTCAGCTGTTGTGAAATTGACGGGGCACATTAAAGGTGAGCGGGGTAAACTGAAACTATTTGCATCCATAGGAGTGCTGTAATGCCATAGCTAAGGTGCAGCAGGATATTGGTTTGACAATCTAATTGTTCACAAGAAGCTACAGAACTTGTCAGCTTAATTCTGCATAATGGAGGTAATAAAAAAAAAATGACCGCATCTCCACGTGGTGAATGATGTTGATTGGGGCGAAGCTTTGGTGGTGCTGATATGCTGAGCCGCAGCATGCCGAGCTTTTCGTTTGTTTTCATCCATGTCAGAAAGACAATGTGTGGTATGGAACGTGGTTATATACACACTTGAGCATTTGACCGCAGTGCCCTCTCGTCTATAAACGTTGAGCCAATGCATGCAAAGTTTAACGCAATTATATATGCATTTGACCGCAGCGTCCTCTCCTGTATTAGACGCTGAGCGGCTACATGCAATGTTTCATTGATGACATCCCCAGCTCTCGAGTCACTACCACATCTCGAAGCCCCCTACTCGTCCCACAGTCGTGGCCGAGTGGTTAAGGCGATGGACTAGAAATCCATTCGGGTCTCCCTGCACAGGTTTGGATCCTGTCGACTGCGCAAACATTTTTTTCTTCATTTTTTTTTAATTTTTTGCCCTACACGAGCACGCGAGCACGTGAGCTCACGAGCACCAGCAAGATCGATGTGTGCATGGACGCCGGACAGACAAGGCTTGACCCTAAGGAGCTTCGCCCCTAGAAAATAATAAAAAAAGAAAATATGGCGAGAACTGAGAAAGACACGCAATGGCCGTATGCCAAGTTTGCTAGAAATTCCAATAAGCCTTTCCTAAGTGAGGTGTAACATGCATTCAGAGATAAGTACTACTCGTTATGAACGTGCAGTCTTCTCAACTGTACAGAGAGTTTAACAAAACTACTCGGAGTAAGCAGAGATTACCACGCTTGGTGTACCTCAGACCGACACACTGTGCATGCCTTCTGGATGTTGGTATTTGCAAGCCCCTAGTCTGTTTTAAGGATCTACACACTTTAAAATGCGAGATCTTCCAATGCCATGGTACATCACACCTCGGCTGACGATGAGGTACTGTTTGGCCTAGTTCACTCCTTATGTTTAGGGTTCCATGTTTTGAGGGCTTATTTTTCTCTGAATCCAGGAGAATTTTTTCTGGGGTTTATTTTACCCCCCAAAGATTTAATACAAATTTCTCAAAATCATAAAAAAAAAAAGGCATTTATTAGGATTTGCGTTGAAGAAAACAGGACATGGCCGTGGAATTCCTTAATTTCGAGGGAACAGGTGCGTGACCCGAACACTTGGAAGACATCCTGGTACGAGTAAGCAAAGGAAACTGGACAAGGGGTGTGGTTTCCAGAGAAGGCAGCAGGCACGGTGATCAGTTCAGTGTTCCGGGTCAACAGAAAGCTGTAGCTTAAAGGGACACTGACAACCCCCCCCCCCCCCCCCCCCCCCCCAAATATTTTTAAATATTTTGCAAGGCGATTTATTATGGTGTCGGAAGACTATTCAATCAATGTGTCGCATATATTTTTAATAAAGTAAAAAACGCTACTGCTCGAAACCGAAACTGGACTGGGGTGGAAGAAGAAATATAGAGGGAGAAAGTTACCAAAAATCACTTGGCTGTACAACTTTCTTTTTTTTTTTTTTCAGTCAACGTATTTGCAGTGTTTTAGAAGCCACAAAAAAAGGGTATCATATTTTCTGTCTATTTTTAGTGGCGAGTGTGTGCCTTCGATTACCCATGACTTTGATTATCTTTGGTGGTTGTGTCTAAACCATAGAACACGGCATGTGACCACAGAGAAGAGTGACGCGACTCAAACTGGCCGGTCCTCGATTGGCGGTTTTCGGGCGGAACGAAAACTAATTTCGATCCGCAAATTGTGTTTTGGGTAGTTGGGCTCTCGTATGTCATTTAATAAAAATTTTCTCAAGCTTAAATAACATGTCAGTGTCCCTTTAAGGTCTCTTTCTGTGAAACTCGGGATTTTCTTATGCAAAGACAGCTTCATTCGGGGGGGGGGGGGGGGGGGGGGGGGCCTTTTGGATTTTTTTGTTGTCAAAACGGGCTTGGGTATACTTACCTTCTTGAAAACACGGAACCCCAAGTATATTGCGTTTGAGTAGAAATTTCTCAATTTAATACCACTTGTTTAATGGGGAGGTTATTTGCTTTCATGGCTGGTGTGTCGGGCATTCTTGCTTCCAAAATTTTAAAATGTTTTTTTTGTTTCTTTTTTTTTTTTTAGTTTACAAATTTGGAACATTACAGGGCATTTAAGAGCTCTACTGTACTGACTCATGCTTAGATTTCACTTTTCTGTTTTGCAAAGGCCCTATTTTCACTGTTGGAAGGAATAAAACAAAAAGTACAACTGGTGTCCTGTTGGCTTGTTCGAAGGGAAGCCCCAAGATTGCTTGCAAAACTTCCAATGAGATACGAAAAAATACCCAGAGTGTAGGCGAGCCGGTGTAAGTTGAATATGATAGTAAACATGAGACTGGGGTAGAGAAACAATAAACGCGAAAACAAAAAAAAAAAGCATGCAACGTCTCAATATGAGATACGTCTTCTCTCGAGCTTTCCATGTTTCAAAACAATGCTAAATAGAAGAAACTGTGTCACATTTTCCATAGCCATTGTGCCCGTGGTAAGGTTGTCTCTTGTTCTACGAACAGAAGATAAACAACCACTTCTGTGTTGCTGTGACCGGGATCATGTTTGCATTTGTTCTTTTCCCCCATGAGAGCAGTTGTCCTTGTTCATTCTCACTGCTCGCCAAGGATACGTAAACAAAGCACAACAATATCAGTCTAGTATAAAGATGTCTTAAAAAGACGGCGTAGCAGAAGCTACTTCCAGGCTTCCAACGTTCCTGCCAAGCATGCGTGCTCGGGCAGTGCAAGCATCACTAAGGATAACATGCCCATACCTATTTTACACTAATGCTTCACACATTAGGATGCACATGCGCAACACAGACTGCTTACACAGACAAAAAATGTACACACTAATGAAAATTTTATTGTTAACATTTTTACATGGTTCATTTTCTTCAAGACAATAGGGGCATTAAGGCACAGTTACAATTCCTTGTACAGTTGTGTGACCATCTTCACAACGGGAACAGTCCATTGTTACCCCAATGTCAAAGACCAAGTTATATTGACAGAAGAGTTGGCCGCTTTGAGGGTCTATTGGCATACATTTTACGGCTAATTAAATCTATGAGATTAGGCTCAAATTTTCTGTAACCATTATAAGAAAAAGCCTTCCTTGTAACCTTAACAGTTGGCTTTTAATCAGTGTTGCCAGTCAGAAAAATGTCCTCTTCCTAAAATAGTGCTGCTGAACAAATGCTACCCCTGTCCAGCAATGAGGGGAAAGAAAAAAAACAACAAAAAAACGGCACATGGCTTTCAAGTATTCGCCGCTAATCCTGGCTAGCCGATGGAATATTTACAGTTTGACATTCATGCTTTATAAAGATGATGTGCTTGCACACAATGGATTTACAAAAAAAAAAAAAAAAAAGTCTCGCAGCAACAAGTGCTGCAAATGCACACACACTTGCACACAAACACATGCTGTCCATCCGGGGAGACTAGAAGGTCCAGACAATTTCATCGCTCTTGTTGCTCCTGGCTTCACCTTCATCTTCTGCAAGGACAATGCAAAGAGTTTAAGTTTTCTACTTTGCAAATAGGTCCCTTTAAAGGAGTACTGAAAGTAAATTCTAGCGCCCATTTTATTGTCTAAATATCAGCTATGTTCAAGGCACATTACAGAGACACAAATTTTTTGCCTGAATTAAAACACCAAAACATGATTTAAAATAATGAACCAAACATTGTTGCGTCAAACTACTCATTAAAGCAGCGCCTCTCCGCGGAAGTATGACGACGAGCTACGACGCGCGAGCCCTGTGGAACTTGATTGAACCCTATTTCCCTTCTTTCTCCTGCACATATTCAAGCCCTGCGGGGCGTGGCCATCCCAAACAGTCGGGTTGTAACACACTCATGCCAGCAAGTGGCGAAGCTCACAACCACGCCAGCATCCCTGTAGCCTTGGCAGCGAAAAAAAAAACGCGACGTCGCAAACGCATTGCGGGCGCCGGATTTTTCGAGATGTATGGCGCTCTCCGATGACTGCTCTTCGAGCGCTCGCCGGAGTCGGCCGTTTGGAACGACAAATGTGGCCATCCGCTCAAAATACAAACGTCCGATTGTCATTAGCAGATTTCGTTAATCTTGTTTAGCAAATTTGGGAACGTGAGAGGTATATTTAAATCTTCTTTTCAGTACCCTATAATAAAGGAGAGCTTCGGAGGTTTTCTGATTAACACATTTCCGAAATACCAGGTCCTTACCCTTCCTGGCATGTTATTTATTACCTAAAGTAACGTCGAGAGTTGGGCTAGTTGGTATCCGTCGATCATAATCTAGAAAACGGCACAAATGGAGCGGAGGAAACACGCAAATGGGACAAACGATGACTCGCAACTGAAGTTCTTACTACTCGAAGCGGAAAGGATAAAAAATTGAAGGAATAAACCAAACGGGCACCATCAGTCAGACACGTGTCGAACCCCTTGCCCTATCACCCCCAGACCCATCACATCACCACATGGCCACCTCTCACTCTCGCTCGCAAAAATTCAATTTCCTTTGCCGAAAGCACTATCGACGCTTCACTTGCACACTGATACCCTCAGAGTGACAGTGTGAAAAGCCTTGAGCACTTCTCTCATCGTCCTATTTTTGATTCTTCCTACAATTGTAGCATCACTGAAGGACGATTTACCTTTGAAGACGCTACAATGGTGACACTAGTTTTAGGAAGAAACGAAGGTAGAATAACGAGAGAAGTGCTCGAGGCTTTTCACGTTATCACTCTGGGGGATCAGTGCGAGAGTGAAGCGTCGATAGCGCTTTCGGCAAAGGAAATTGAATTTTTGCGAGCGAGAGTGAGAGGTGGCCATGTGGTGATTTAACGGCTCCGAGGGTGATAGGGCAAGGGGTTCGAAACATGTCTGTCTGATAGTGCCCGTGCGGTTTCTCCTTTATTTTTCGTCCTTTTTGTTTCAAGTAGTAATAAAAGCTTCAGTTGGGAGTCGGCGTTTGTCCTGTTTGAGTGTTTCTTCTGCTCGGTCCATGTTTTTTTGCACTGTCTCTATGCTACAATTTATTATCTCTAAATTCAAAACAGCTAGTGAGAAAACGGCTAATGAAGATTATTAGTCTTGTGTGAATAGTGGATTTTGAGTCTGAAGCGAATAGCGCTTTTGGCCGAATATTTACGATTCGAATATTGAATAGTTTTTCCACACCTTGCACTGCCATTGCATCATGCTTAGACGAAAACCCAGCTAAACTTGCGAAGGTTGTTCCACTTGTTCATTTATAAGCTAAGTTTAATCTATCTATAGTATTTATGAACTGTGACCTCAGAGGGTCTGATGTCTTGGGATAACAAGTAAATGACGGATTTGACATAAAATGAATCCTATACGGGTGGCCAACTATACCCAATTAAGTGAATTTACAAATCTTGCTATACAAAATATTCTTTCTTTAATCTCGAGTTAAAAAAGAATTACGCATGATGAATGCAGGTTGTAAGGGCATCTCTGCCTACCACAGTTATACTCTTACATAACAGTTTGTTTAATTTTGAAACTTTTACTACAATGTAGATATACACATTCGCAAAGTTTCCATTTATTTTCAAATACAGCCGGCACTCGTGCACCATCCCGCGTTGAATGTATGCTTTTCTTCCAAGCACGCAATGCCATATTCATACTTTTCCAAGTGTTTATTGCGGCGGGTTACCCCGTTGAATGCGCTTCTTACCGAGCACCAATGTAATGCAGAGAAGCAACACCTGCGGAGCTCGCTTCCGCGAATATTGCTTCTCCGCAGTGCACCAGTGCTCGGTAAGAAGCCTGCTCAACGGGGCTAACCTGCGGCAATCAACACTTCGAAAAAGGCGAATAGTGTGATTCTTCTCGAAGCGAATATTGAATTATGCATTATTCGGAACTACTATTCGAAATTTAGAATATTCAAACAAACCTAAAGATTATGCCAAAAACAAGATTCAAATTTTTCCACGATCTCCTCCAGTGGGGTGACATCACATGTTGTACAACTTGCAAGTCGAGCAGGCAACTAAAAAAAGTGTGTGTGTGTGTGTGTGTGTGTGTGTGTGTCTTTTTTTTGTTTTTCTTTCCAGTATGCTGGCATGACATGTTTTCAGCACCGATTTTACGCTATCGAACTCAAACACTGGGGACAACCCTCGCAACTCAGCCAACTTCTTTTTTTTTTCTTTTTTTTTTTGGGGGGGGGGGGTGGTTAAGTTCTGCACACATTCCCTTGTCATCCGTGTCCCCGACAAGGGAATGAGTTTATCTATTTATTTATTTTACCCTCAGGGCGTGAGCATTACAGAAGAGGAAATGGTTGCATGAGATATTGAAAAAAACAGACACAGATACACGGGAAAAACAATCAGTGTAGATTAGAAAAAAATATGTTCCAAGGCTTTTTTAAAAAGGTTGTGATCTATGATCGAGACTATGGGTGCAGCCAGGTTGGTTTCAGTCAAAGGATGTAGACGGCATGAAGGAATGGTGAAAGAAGTTGGTGCGAGCATATGGGATGCCAACTTTGTGTTGATGGTCAAGTCTAGGTCAAACGTAAAGAGGAGGTATAATTAGCTTATTACTCAGCGTCTCACTAGTGAAATAAATTTGACGGAACAAACTTAGATGGGCTACTTTTCTACAAGTTGATAATTCAGGGAGAGAAAGATTAGACTTCATAGTGCTTACGCTGGCTGTCCAATGGTAATTCGAAAATATAAATCTAACAGAACGATTTTGGACGACCAGGGTCCCAAACAGAAGATGCATATTCAAGCTTTGATTGTACAAGGGTTTTATACAGAATTAGCTTCAAAGACTGGGGTGCTAAAATAAAATTCCTTTTAAAAAACCTGGCATGGGATTAGCATTGTTAATGATGTAGTTAATGCGAGTCCTCCATGATAAATCGGACGTAACATCAACTCCTAAATACTTATAGGTCGTAACTAATTCCAGGGGATGGTTATTTAGTAGGGATGGGCGAATATTCGGTTAATACGAATAGCCAATCGAATTCTGTTCTATTCGGTATTCGCTTCGAATCGAATTTAAGTATTCGACAAAATCGAATTATTCGACAATATAGAATTATTCGACCTTTCGAAATACAGTCAAACCCGACTATATCGAACCCGTTTACATCGAATTATTCCTTATATCGAACAATTGTTGTGCACAGTAATGTTACAGTGATAATATATAGCAAAAACTATGGTTGCATCGAACAAAAATAGCAGCCGCTACCGATATATCGGAACTGCCAAGAGCGCCGTTTTGCTCTGCAAGCTGGCTTTCCCCCAACGCGCAGCCGCCTTGGGGGAAAGCCAGCTTGCAAAGCACGCTAACTTTTTTTTTTTTTTCTTTGGGCGGCCGCGTTGATTGTTCAGAAAAAAAAAAAAAAATATATCTTTTGCGGAGAGACGGTGCTTCGTGCTCCGTCCGCAAAAGAGAATATTATTTTTTCTTCCAAATTGACGCGGCCGCCCAGAGAGAAAAAAAAAAGCCAGCTTGCTTTGCTAGTTGGCTTCCCCCAACGCTCCACCTGTTTTAGGGGAAAGCCAACTTACAGAGCAAAACGGCGCTCTGCAGGAGGTGCTCCCGTTGGACGTGCTCCGTGCTCTCGGCATATTTCGGCGCTAATGTGCGAATATAGAAGGCAGCGGCCCAAGAATTTTGGAGTCCGTCGATAGCGTAGAAAAATATCGTTATCACGGATGCAATGAAGAAAAAGCAGCAGAAGATGCAAGACTACTTCATTGTGTAATATTTCAGCAGAAAGGGGATTTTTGAGAGTCAAGTTCATTAAAACTTTTATATCTAATTACCCGCTATATCGAACTGGTAGACTTTTTTTGCAAGTTCAATATAAACGGGTTTCACTTACTCTGGCTTGGATTTACGGCCAGGTGGCGCAAGCTTCCGACCGTTTCGTGCTACCAAACTCAATACACTTGAAATTAACAATTACAGTATATCAAATACCAAATAAGGGCAAATATAAAACTATAGTTTAAACATATTTTGTGGTATTTTTTGCTAGTACTATTCGAACTATTCTATTCGAAATTATTCGACCAAAATCACTATTCGCTTCGAATTCGATTCGGACCCAAAATCCTCTATTCGCCCATGCCTATTATTTAGCGTATAATGGGGGCTGAGACGAAGTACAATGGGACACTCTCATAACCTTACATTTGCTAGGATTTAGTACCATGGACCACGAGTCGCACCAGTTGGAAACAGAGTTAATATCGTTTTGCAGTAGGTTAGAATCACAGTGATGTGATTGCTGCGCCAATTGCGCCAAACTGCGCCAAGGCGCTGAGTCTGCTACATCCTGCTAGATTTTCCCAAAATGTAGGTAATCTGCGCCAAGCCTGCGCCAAAGGAGCACTTTCGGTCGCCTTTCGAAACCGAAACTAAACCAAGAACCGTAATTGCGCATGCGTGATCAGCTAGGTGGGGCAAGCGGCCGCCCGACACAAAGTACCCTGCATCAATT